CAAGCCGGGTATACGATTTTTATACAGAAGCATGTTCGTTGTTAATATTTGGAAAATTCTTTCTTCTCACGCGGATTAAGACCAATTCTGCATGCATGTGCATATAGGCTACTGATCCATGAGTCATGATATTTCTCCAATGTTCTACCTGAACACTTCTAAGTATATAGGCGACCGTCTATCCTTCGTCATATAACTCTGGTGTTACTGATTGACATATAGAGCACATGGATAATTTTAAATGCGTTTCGAAAAGAACTATCGTATACGAAAATATAATTTATAAATCTATAGATAATGTATGTATCATAGTAACGAAGTTTAGTAACAAAGTTTTATCGGGGTAAACAAAGAATCACCCTTAAATTATATACGCTTAATTTAGCTCCCAAAATTCGTAGATCCATTCGCGGAAAAATCACTATATGATGCAACGCGGTCGACAATTCCCACTATTTTGATTGTGTTAATTTATGTCAAATTAAACACTTTACGACTAAAATTGAACACTTTCATACATCATTTAATTTTGTCGACTTGTTTTGTATTTAGTCTGGCGTGTATTCAAAATAGTTTCTTTTTGTTCTTCTTCAAACAGCTCTTCTGCTTCAGACAAAAAAACGGTCGGGTACTTCGTTTTTGGTAAACTTAACCAATCAAATTGCAGCTAAGCTCGTTCATGTAATTGGTATAGCTATATTATAGCCACAAATATGTAGTAGGCCTTCAATTTGGCCGGGTCTTATATTGGTTTTACTAATCGAAGTATCGAAATCAGTTACAATAAATAAATCCAACGGTTCCTTCCTATAATTTAAGCTAAGTATAGCGGTTGATGGGACATGCAACGCCGATTAAAATTGTTGTGTACATCCTGTATCACCAAACCAAGGCTCGACGAACGACGAACGACGAACAAATTGAGCCCCCTTTGCATGCCGGGATACATACGATTGATTTGTAAAAAACATTTGTGCTGTTTCAAAATATTGAAATAAACAATATTCATTGTTCGATTTTCTGTCTAACAAGGTACAGATATGCTTTAAGTACACAGCTAATAGAATTAAGGGTTTGAACTTTGAGCGCGCAAGGAATGATGGTTTGTTTACAATTAATATAGAAGACTTATATATGCAGCAAAAAAACACACCAGTCTTGCTCGAAAGGCAATTTTCTGACTTCAACGACTCAGTTCAATAGGTGGCAACACAACAACCAGCCTGCGAGTGTAGCGCTCAAGATTCCAAGCAGCATTTACTGCTGATATACATTCTCTGACGTGCACATAACCAGGTAACCGTGATATCTAGCGCCCTCCTTTTGAGTTCGTTGTTCAAACAGTATTATGTTTAAAACTTATCAGGACTTTGTCGAACGTTGTAATTTGCATGGTGACCTTATGCACGCGTATAGCTAGTTATGTTTATTATTTAGCCTATATATCAGTGAAAAAAGCAACTAACGTGGTGTCATGCGGTATTTGTTAAAGTGATTTATTATAACCGTAACATCGGTCTCTATGATGTCATGTCACAACTTATGGCTATATCATTATAACCAGGTTCTCATACAGGTCACTGACAGCCGGCGATAGCTATTGTTGTTTTTTCCTGGAGAATAAAATGCTTTGTTATTTTGTATGTTTTCTTCGTCACCGCGCGGCCACCAATAATACATCGCAGACTGTCAGTGATTATTGCACGAGAACCTGCATGGCAAATTGACCAAAATAGGTTGCATTTAATTTTTTATATTGTATAGTCATAATGCTCCGCTATGAGCAGACAAATATCTGCTAAAAGTCTGCTAAAGACTTCGTGTCGTTATTGCACACTTCGAAATTCTCGTACAGGTCAGTAAGTAACATGTGAATGAACGTCCTATTTTACTGTGTATATGAAAGTATGTATGAAAGTATGTATGAAAGTATATATCATTTATATTCATGAATAAAACGCTGCACATCGAATCGTCAGTTGGGTACTAGGCTATACTAGTTCCTAAAGGTATGAATCAGGCCTATTAAAGTTTTTCATAAGAATTGCCTCAATCTTCCTACGATTGGGAGCAACGCTATTCTCAAATAAATTAATAATCCTGCATGCACGTTGCTAAAAGACGAATTTTAAAGGTATAAAACTGTTTCGTCATTAATTATTTATATTGTAAAAGTCAGCATCAATTGAAGTCAGAAGGTTTGTTCACACGATCCAATTTTGTTGGATCCAATTCACTTCTGATGGATGTTTTATAGTCTGTTGTCTTGTAGTGTATATCAGCAGCAAATCCACCGAAGCCAATGCGCCGTACAGCTTCATCAATAGTCGACTATATTTTATACGTCAGAATTGAATTGGATCCAACAAAATTGGATCGTGTGAACAGACTTAGACATTGTCATTTTATAGTGACTATACATGCTCATATATATTGATTATTGACTTTATAACTCTCAAAATATAACTTTTTATAATAAATTGTAAAATAAAAAGGTGAGAATAGCATCAATTTTCCCCCATTGTTATAATTGCGCCTGGATTTACATAATAATAACTGAATTGTGAACGAATTAATTACCTGCAAAAAAAAGCCTATAAATCTCGTTGAACTAGCTTGTTGTTTCCTTGTGGGGGAAAAAAAGTATTGTGCTAACATGTAAAAGATTATGAACGAATTAATAACCTGTTAGTCTAATAGCTACTGGTATATAATATATATATATAAATATATATATAATATATAAAATATATATGCATATATATATATAATAATATATAATATATATAATAATATATATAACATAAATATATAGAATAATTAATATAGATATAAAATAATATATTATAATATATATATATATATATATATATATTATTTACAGTTATAACTGCAAAATAAACGATCCTGATTGGCCAATTCCTAAATCCCGTCAATATCTATACAGTTAAAAGTTACTATCCGTTCGCACAACGCCTCATGCATGCAGAGCTTCGATGATTTAACTATATAAGCTGCATGTTATGTTTTTACAACAGATTAGTAGACAGATTTTTTATTTTGGAGCGGGAATCAGCGCCGGTTTACCAGTGCAATTGTATATCGAATTGTTTACTCAACTTAGATGTACAATCGTGTCGTTAATTCTGCCACGTCGCCATCGCTATGCATGCATGCATGGGCCCTTCTCTATGGGTATAGTTCAATTTACTCGCACATACTGACTAGTCTTTTATTGCGCTTATTCTTCTAATTTTAGCCCAAACGCAGCTACTGTGCATAAACAAGAATTAACATACCCATTAACTTTTCATAATTGTTATACGTACCGCACGCAAGACAATTTAACGCAATTAAATATATAGGTCAATGTGGGCTACAAAGATAACTAATCGTAAGATTCAATTGAATTAAACAGAAATAATTAAGTGAGAGAAACAAGTCCTCTAATTCTTAAGGTCGGCCGTTTCAGACGTCGAACTTTTTATGTGCCGAATCGAATGCACTTTAGTTCATTATTACATTAACATTACATGCAGGTGCAGCAAATGAAATGTTCAACGTCTGAAATGGACTCAACTAACTTCAGGTGGTCTTGATAAAAAAACGTAGTGAAAATGCAGTCCCCTAAGTTTCACAAGGTGCTGTATCCTAGCCAGTATTTCAGACCATATATTAGGGGGAAAGGCAGGCATTTCAAATAGTATTTCATGGTATATATATATGCATGGTAAGCTTCTGGGAATGTCCCAGATCTATCAAATCCCAATGGTAAAGGGGCAAAGAAAATATGCGAAACAAAATGGTTTGCTCGCGACATTAGAATCGCTTTATTTCAGTTATCACAAGATTAAAAATACACTCAAAATGACAGAAAGCTCATTGATTTTTTTTGGCAGCATTGTTTTTTTTTGGCAGCTTGCTGAAATATTGTGTATAGATTTGTCCCTCGTATATTAATGAGAAATTGCAAACCAACTTTTCAATTTAAACCGAAGCAAATAGCTTTGTTTCAGACTTTAGAATGAAAACAATTGAGTAATAAATGCATTGGAGCAACCATTATTTTACTCTCAGAGGGGGCGATGCATATATTTTAATTAGAATTACTGACGATGAGAAATTATCTTCCGTTTCTGAAGTATGAGTATACTCAAATCAAACAAGTGAATGTCTACAACGTCTTTGTATTCAACGTACTTTCAAAGAGAACAATACGATTCATATTGAACATTCACTTTTGAACTGAAATCAACGGGCTCTTCTTAATCACCTATATATGACGTCGGAAGTGAGGTTGAACTTTAAATTGAATTTTTTCTACTAAATGATGAAAAGAGTCGTCTCCGAAGTGTTTTTATTTGACTAGAAATTTGAGAATGCAACCAATTTCGGGAGTTTCGGGAATATACCACCCTTTTTTTCCGAGATGAAATGTTTGCGTGACCCAACCGGTGCATATCCTTAATAACACAAGATGGCGGACACTTCATTGACTTCGTTCAAAGAAAACAAACATGACATGAACAATGCAAAAATCGATAACCTTTTAAACATAATTTTAAACGTCCTTTCAAATAAAACCACGTAAAGTTTTTGCTGTTTTAAATTAAGGTGCCTTAAAACTCGTGATAACATGGAAATGCATCATCATTTTAAAACAATTGTTATTGAAGCCATCACGCCTACAACCTACATTATCGCGCTGTTATCGATGGGCGAGTCGCAGAGATTATATAAGAAACTCGTAGCACTGTATATAGTCAGGAATTTTTGTCATCATTCTTACAAAAAAAAAATCGATTGGAAAGATAAATGATAAACGATAAACTAAAATATAGCGCTTCCTAAAAAATAGTTTAACAACTACTTCTCTATGCTCTACAGTATTCATCAAATGACGGTTACATGAGCAATCGTACATCATGTCGAACTGTCGTTAATATGGAACAAGATTCATTCATTAAACAAATGAACATTAGCCCTGGAGCTCTACATCGAACATTCTTAACATTTTCTCGACTCATTATGTACTTAAAAACCTTCCATGATGTCTAATAGATTGAAGTGCATGTTAAATTGACCGATTTAAGATTGAATACCCCCGATATTGCGGTTAAAGTAATTGTTCTTTGACTGTCTGAAAGTGTTTACCAAAGATCAGGAACTCTTGTTTCTATGCCTGTGTACACCTCGCAAGAAGCTTGTGAAATTGTTGTTTCAATTCACGCTGCTGGTCCTTTCACAGATGATGAACAATTACACCTGATTTGTCGTTTGGTTACCAACATATACAGTAAGCGAGTTCACCTCATTTGCATACGTCTGTTGATGTTTTTAATTGCTTCGCCATTTTACCATAAATATATACAAATATGGCATTTGTGTACAGAGTGTAACTAGACGGACCCCATATTCGGCTATTTCTGGGAATTATCCCCCTATAGGACTAGCGGTATACTTCGTTCAGTTAGCCAAATACACTTCATGCAAAGAGAAAGCTATACAATTCAATCGTGGTTTGGTAACATTAATAAGTTGTTCCAAAAATAACGTGTATTGTTGTGGATGTCTCTGTTTTATTTACTGATCAAGACGTATTAATTAAGGTCAACGTTATCATATAACGTTCATACTTAACGGGAGCCAATAAAATTGTTGGAACAGACACATCACATGCAGTATATTTTTAAATCGAGCATGCATAATCAGTTAGTCCATCGCGTATGTGCATTAAATCTATAGCATAATTAACAAAATGGATCAAATGACAGCGTACATATTTTATTTGTTAATCTTGCATGGTGCATGTGTTCACTAGATCCGTGTTGCCTTATACATCGCAAACATTAGACTATATCTATAATAAACACTATCTATAATAAACACTATCTATAATAAACACTATCTAAGATAAACACCTTGTACCAAATGTTGTATCACGACTGTCTGAAATACTTCTGGAACTGATTTTTATCTAAGGGACTTCGTCAGAAGAGTGCTGACTTTTATAGCTAGCTATACCTCCCCTGACGAAGGACCTTTTAGGTCGAAACGTCGAAAACTGACGAGAAGCGTTTTCTCTTTTTCGTGGGGATCTTATACCAAAATTTACGTAAATATATTCAGAAATCGCTGCTACGCTGCTCTATATTGATCGATATATTGTAAGATAAACACTAAAATGAGTTTGACAAGTTTGATAAGAAATGGTTTAACAATGAATAAATAGGGAACCAGCTGGTGCCACGGTAATAATCGAAAGTTGTTCAAACGTGCCCTAAACAGAACAATACCTTGCGATCTCTGAAACCTTGAACTAAAGCTTTTACCCACCCGACTTTCTTCAAATTAAATATCATTATATGAGAAGTGAACAGGTATATACGATATTGTACAGGGACAGTCTCTTCGACATAAACTGAAATGTATGCAACTATAAAACAAGATCATTTTTTGACGTTTCGACATAAACGCCTTGCAAATTAAGAGAGTTAGCTACCAGTGTAAAGTACTGTACGTTTTAAACGAACGTGTTAGAAATATTATAAGTATAAGTATATATTTTAAGCATGCGATGATTGATGTCTATATTTCAATTGACGGTTGATAAATATGCTTGCATTTTGCTTTTCGGAAAGACCCAATTTCGAGAATTTTAGTCAAGTGTAACAAAAAGGTATCATATAGTGCTTTTGTCAAGTGTGAGAACATTTTCAAGACTTGATTCGTCCTTATATTGAATTGTTCAATTGCCTGACATTTAGGGGCCTGCCTAAAGTGATTGCACACAAACATTAAAGGTGAAAAAAGTAATTAATTAATTTAATTTGCCCAATTCTCAAATTGCATAAGACTATATTTTGGCATTTTTCCATTATTCTAGTAAAATCAGGATAAAATATACATGGCAGCATGCCGCAATATGATCCCATGCACGAAATATCAATTCTAGTTCAGCTTTTCTCTTTTTCTTCATGTTGACGGCGTAATATATTTGTCACCCAATGTTCAGTCGCGTACTGTGGTTTATGGGTTTGTATATTCTGTAAAATCATATGCAAACCTCAAACACGATTCGCCAATACAGCCAATATCACCAATGCAGAAATGTCCATCAGAACATTAATGATGCGTGTACAAAACTCAACCATAATTCATTAGGGAGCGTGCGAAATAACAATTGGTACATACGTTTTTGTCGTTGCAAATTTGATTGGACAAAACAGAAAGGATGGGTAATCTTGGATTTTCAGTGAGATTTATAATGATGCTCACTGGTAACCACAGCTCCAGAAGCGGACACACTCTGCTTCGCAGGAATTTATTTAAAAATATCAAACAAACCAAGAGTAACTTTAACTATAATATGCCGCGACGAAGAAATTAGCATTGCAAGAAGAAATGCAATTTTCGTAACACGAAACACCGCATAAAAAAGGATGCATTTGCAAAGAAAAAAAAAGAGACGTTTCATCCACTACAAAATTTGTATACAAGGTGATAGATAAAATCCGGTTTATCTGTCGCCAAGTTTCGAGGGGGTTATCCTCGAACAACCTCAGACCTTTGGAATAAATGTTTGTATACAACTCGTAGGGTACATATATAGGCATCTACTGATCTACGGCACAAGTTCCACGTACATTTCGGATATTAAAAACGAAACTATTTTCATGCACATTGCGCATGGGTAGAACCGCACATGCGTCGCATCACTCTGGACATAAGCTTGTGCGTATACAATTACACATGCACAGCGCATTTAATGTGGTTGTTTATTGACATTTACTTAATTATTTTCATTAGCATTTCAAAAGAGTGCGCCATCTCACAGTGTTATCTGACATCTCGTGAAGTTACTCTTCCAATATAATTTGAAAGGAAGTAAGACCGGTGGGAACACGAAGACGTCCTCGTCAGCTGTTTGAAAGCAAACGTCCTCCTTGATACAGCTTTAAGTCGAGCAAAGTTACTTTGCAGCAACCACGAGCCTGGTCGCCACGAGGACCTATTATAGTAGTAGTATCAACATGATGTACGCCGTATCGATTTTACCGATCATACTTTTGTTAGCGGTGTGTCACCATTCCTTGGGTGCCGATGATTTTACGGAGCCAGGTAGGCACCATTCCAATAATCCTAATTTGATCAGAATTTTAGCGAAATCCACCAGCACTACATGCACGTGTCATACAATATGCGCAACTGTTCTCGAAATCAACTCATCTTGAACGCACGTAACTTTCAATCAAGTAACTTAATAAGTGATTTATTATTGTGGCCTAACTCTCGCAAATGAACTTTGGTCTCTTGATATTATTTTATATATATATAAATATTGTTTTTGTTATAAACTTTGAGATGATTAATTATGGATATACATGCATATATATATGTTTTTTGAGACAGTAGGAAATAGTGTATTATGTTTGAGCAAATGCATAAAATGAGTTGTTGAAATTAATTCACATCCCCAATAGTTTAGCTGTGGAACTGCAGCAGGGAATATGTTCGGATCAATCTAATCCAAGTTGTTATAGAAATTGCATTAAAATTACCCCTGCGAAGCGTTTCACCCTTGACGTAAGCCTCTCGAAGCTCTTCAGCAGAGTCACGATACATGCATTAGTCAGTCATAAAACAGCTATGAAGCTCGCAACGAAGATAAAGGCGAAAAAAAACCAGAACTTAGAGAAACAGCGAACAACTGTATAGCTACAGCTGGTGATTGCGACGAACTAATTAGGGGTATTTATATCAGGTGGGCTGAAGTGGGAAAAGTCTTTTCTTCATCACAATTGAATGTTTCAATTTTAATCTGCGCAAGACGCGAGTTCTCACAAAAGGTTGCAAAATAAGCGGCTGTCTTGCCTCTATAAACACTCTCTGCTTTTAACAGTGAACATGCAGTATGACAGTTCTGAAAGGCTTTAAAACTGAACTCTCTCGCTTGAGAAAAATATCTACTCGGCCATACAATAATGTTCCATGGCAATCAATAATGAAAAAACCATGACATATTGGTTTGTTTTTTCCCCGTCTGCGGTCAACCGCATTGGAATATGTAGGTACAAGTGTACAACCACAAAAACGTCATACAAAAATTGAATCGAATCCTGCATCGGTTATCATGTCACTGCTACTTTAGATCTTTCACTGCACGCCAATGTAGCTATTAGTCAGGGCATATTACATTGTTTCCCAAATGGTCAACATTCAGCAGTGACAGCACTAGCTGCACACAATTTTGCATGATAACAGAAATCATGCAGAGTATAGCCAGTGGGCCAACCGAAGTATGCCAACTAATTATACAGCATTATAATGTACGTTCATCACAAGAAAGACTCGCTAGTCGAAGGTCAACTAGAATATCATAATTAAAAAGCAAACATATTGAGGTGAGGTGAATGGCGTGTCTAATCCTATTGCGAAGAACAAAAGAATACTAGGAGACTATGTTGGCGATTAAATTAGTTAAATGAATACAATATGCAGAAGGTTTGTAATCCATTCTGACAGTCTAGGCGACGGAATGTCGCAATGTATACACAAGCAGGTATATTCTCAGCGTTTAATTTCGATGGCATGCACATGTTAAGCGGCAGGAAAATAGAATTGTTTTGAAGATGGAAGGTCGTGGATTATGCACTTATAGTAACAACAACTTGTACATATCTTATATATGTTGATCCAAATCATTAATACTGCATGACGTTTGGTCACAATTTATTTCGTTACACCTGGCATATATACACTCCTAAATCATCATATTTTACCACCATAAGGAAAAGTGGCTGTCACTATTACAAAGGCTAGGACACGGTGGTAAAAACAATTGAAAATACAACAGTTAATCCTTATCTTATTGAAAATCCTTATCTTTTAACCTACCGGTAAACCCTGTACCCCCTACAGACGGCTCTTTGTTCGACGGAAGTTTTGAGCTTCAATTTGAAAGGTTTAGTCTTTAGAAATGTCTCTTTCATTTCGGTATACGACAAAAGTATAGCCTTTCACTTGTCGTATAGCTAAGTCAAATATTTCATACCGAATAAACATCAACTACATAATCGAAATCGATTTTTTGTGGTGCCTTTATAGGCAGGTTCCGCCACATATCTTTTCAACGGAGTTGTTTGCCTAAAAAGACAACTGTTGTGCACAGCACAGCCCAACATGCATGATTGATGCTTCAGTTTGATCGCTAAACAGGCAGTCAGGCCTACCAGCCCTTTGAGAGACCTATGAAACTTAACGAAAGGCGACATGAAAAACGTGCCAAATTACACAACGGCAATGCAATAGACGAACTAGTTTTAGAGCGACAAAATATGTACGCAGGGCTTGAAGTGGTCAATATTTGTTCTTGTAATCGGAAATTGTAATCAAATGAGTAAATACGCAACTGAGTGGTTGTTGCACTAATTCATTATTGCGACCGTGAGAGTCACAGCAGTGCTTGATCCAACGCTCAGCTTGAAGAGCGAGCTTCTTATTAATCCAGGTGTGACTTTGTATAAAATCTACAGCAACAAGCTCGTACCCTTTGATCTTCGCACGAAGTTAAGGCGATTACATTATTTTGAGTCTTCTTAAGTGCCTGCATGTGGGGTTGTAAGGGATTAGTTTTTTCATGGTCCTTTAATACTGACAACAGCACCGTTCATCAATTATCCAACCGAAGTAATGGAAAGACTGTTGGAATGTTCTTCTCGTGCGCACGCGCAATAAGGAGGCATTTTAATATGCACCTTCATGAAAATTATTTTCTATTCTCGAGACTCGATTAATATTGCGAGGTAAGGTGCTCTTACCCACGTAAGAGCACCACGTAATACAAAGCTTTTGTATTAGCATGCATCACTGTTTAAGGGTCTGTTTACATGGAGCGAGTTATTCCGGCTAGGCTAGGTGAAAGCTGCATATAATGAAAGACTAATCAAGTTAAGCCTTTAATGTGATGCCTGGCCGGAATAACTCGCTCCATGCAAATAGACCCTAAGGCAATCTTGCAATCGAACCCAATCTGGTTGCAGTCGACTGAATGGTCATATATTTTTTAGCCTTTTGTCCACGTTTGCCGGCGATTCAAACTTTTAGAGCGTTATTTTAACAGCCAGTTCTCACGGCTCAAGGAACTAATGCACAATATATAACTATATATTTTATCAGTGAATTTGAATTGCACAGCCTTTGAACGATTATGATATTCATCTGCTGTTGTACAAATTACAATGTTATAGATCAAGCAGTTGATGTAGAATATTATTTTTTTCTTTAAATCATGTAAACATTTAACTATTTTTTGTTGTCTCTCTTTATACAAGAGCTTATTGAAGGCGACATAATACTCGATGAATCTACAGCATTTGCTCTGGTTGGCAAAACAGACACGGAAACGCATCGACGCAAAAGAGACGTCTCTCAAAACACGATCAAAATTTGGGATGATGCTGTTATACCGTACGTCATTTCAGACGACATGGGTAAGTATATACCTGACAGAAATGTCTCTATCCACACTCTGCCTTTTGCAAGATAACCTGTTTTTTAAAAAAGCTGTTAGGATTAGAGTTTGCTTGAGTGAAGATATGTGGTGGAAAAGCAAAATGATTTAACATGCTTGCATGTTAATTTGAAAAAATATGACTCAATGGAACTAGTTCGACTCGTTTTCTCTGTTTGGATACATTTTTACTTAACTTTCGAATTGCCTTGTTTCATTGGCCGAGTTGACTTCACATAGTTTGTCAATTTACAATTTGTACCAATTGAATTGTACTGTACTGCTGTACACATGTTTGATTAAGCAGATACGATACTACAAAGCTATAAACCGTATATAGTGGGGCTTATAGAATGTGTACATGGCCTCTTTTTTGGTGAATTATGGCATTTGACCGTATCATACACTGTATATGTCGAAATGCGATTGCACAATTTACTAGCCTGCATCCACCCGCCGAGCAGCAATCTGCGTTTGATCAATCATAATTTGACAACTATTGTACGCGAACACAAACACACTTATTATATTTACATCAAATCTTACTCCACCTGATGAGGCGTCTCGTGGTGCATATCGTCTCATTACAACAAACACGGATTTAACATGTACACCATGGATAAGATAGCTATGCCAACAAGGGGTAACCCACAAGCATGATTGTTCTGTGATGTGCCTGCATGCCGTGTCATGTTATGTACCCCGGACACCGTGTGATGCTTTTCTATCGATACATACTCGAGCAGACAGGTGATTAATCTATAGGAAGGGAGGAGATCATGCTTAATATGTCAAAGATCTTTTCAAACTATCCGTTTTTGACGAATATGACCGTTAAAAACGATGAAGCGAAGATCGTGACGGTGTTTAGTCAAACGAGGTTGGATAAGTTCGTCTTTATTTATACAACTGCCTAATTCCTGTTTAATTTTAAATTTTTAAGAGAAAATTTGATACAAAGCATTGATATACCCTTTGATCAAAGTCGAAAATATTTGTTAACATGGATGTTATAAATTTAAATTGCATAAAGCACAGCATTTGACACTGGATCAATGTTCCCAAGTTCAATTTATTCTCGATTTGACAAGCATTGTTACCAGGAAGGTATGCAATGGTATCTAATCTCCTCACCTGGCGGGAGACTATGGAAACATGCATCGCACAATAGAGTATTTGTATATCTCGTAACCAAGTGAAATATTTGAAAACTCTTAAAGTTACACTGAAATGGAAAAAACCGGTCGTAAAGTATGTGTCACGGGGAGAGGATTATAATGTTCCCAAATTCCACCAAAAAATTTAACGCTTCCAAATGATATTAGTGACTTCCTGCTCGCCGGCTGATGGGGTTAGTTCAACCCGGATTAAAACTATCCGCGCTTGCGAGAAATTTGTCTTGCTGTGGGGTTCTTTTACGTGAACTTTTCGCACGCGAGAGAATTTGTTAAGTCAACAGCAGCGCAAGACAGCAATTAGCTTAGCAACTTCGTGGCTGTCCTGTACCGCTAGCGTAATAATATTCTTATTATTAACTACCATATAAATTAATTTTGTATTTTGACTGCTTACAACCTAGATAAAAAAGGAAGACGAGTTATTCGCAAAGCAATGCGTAACTTGGCCCGAAAGACATGTGTAACTTTCATACCAAAACAAGACAAGCATACGGATTATGTCAGATTCGTTTCGGGGCAAAAAGGGTGAGTGAATGAGTTAAAGACCGTACATACATTGACGTAAATGTGCACGTATCAACCTTAATGGTATATTCACTGAAACCAACAACCTCGTACCCAGGTCACACGCGCCAAGCGGTACATTTTTGATGTACTCTAATGTGACTCAAATCTACGCAAGTGATCTATATGCCATTTCCCACAAGAAACTTGAGTTGTGTAAAAACTCTTAAAACATCACCTTGACGCCATAGTGGTTTCAAGGTGCGCTTTCCAATATTAGAGCCGTAATATAAACGTCACGACTGATCTTCACATGTATTATATAGTTCTTGAATATTGACTATGTACATATACATTTTCCCATTCTCAATATAGATGCTACTCTTCCATTGGTCGCAAAGGTGGAGAGCAACTACTGTCTTTGGGTAAGGGATGTTTAGATCGAGGACACGCGATTCATGAAGTTATGCACACGTTAGGATTCTTTCACGAGCATTCCAGATTTGATCGAGACAAATATATTAAAGTTTTCTGGTGGAATATACAAGAAGGTATGTCTTTTAGTCACATTTATAGTTCACACCGTTTGCGGATATTTACTTCACGAACAGGGCTGCCGGCAGAGAGGAGCAGGATAAAAATCCAAATGAACTGGCCACCTGGGGGTTCTAATGCAGAAAGAGTCTCAAAAGACTGATTGCAAATTAGAAAAATACATTAAATCTTCATGACTTTTTAAGCTTAATGTAAATTTCAATTGGCACAGTTTACAGTATTATACAGTAATAATGCACTGAAGATCAAGAAAACTATAAATTTAATTTTCGTACTCTCTTTCATGTTTTAGGAATGGAGAGGAACTTTTTGAGCTACAGTCATTACCCTGCAGACTCTCTTAATGAACCGTACGATCTGTTTAGCATCATGCATTACGATAACAAAGCATTCTCAGGAAACGGCCAAGATACGATGCAGTCGATAAGAGACCCAGGCTTCAGATTTGGCCGTTTTAGATCGCTCAGTCACGTGGACATAAGACAACTGAAAAAGTTGTACAGTTGCACCGCTCGCACGAAAAGTATGAAAGGTAGGAACCAGAAATGGTAAAACGTTTTACTTTTACGATCACAATTAATATTTTACGCGTATATTTACATACTGTAAAGGCTTTGTTCGATGTATATTGTGTCATTTTTGCTTCCTCAATAGCAGAGCTTAATTAAGTCTCAAAGCAGATTGACCGTACATTCCCCAAAACCTCGAGTTTCGATGCAATGCGCAAGCAAATTTCTGCAATAACAAATTGTTTTCGATAACAACTCAGTTATGCAATGCTACAACTTTATACATTGCTGCTCTTTGCGATGCCACAATGACAAGTTGCAATGCATCTAAATAACGCATGCATCCCAAACTGAGACATTGCTTTAAATTAACGTATTCTTCGCAACCTTTTTCTCGCGGGACGCACTCAGATTTCGTTTATTTTATCAAATATTACTCGTTCAGCGTTAACAATGTTGACAGTGTGGACTGTGGTATAAGAACTACGTCATGTAACCCCTTTAAACTTTCAGAAAGCGGCACGGAAACATTAATACAAGTGTACATTAATTTTCTAGCATCGTGTTACAACAGACGATCGAGGTGCTATAAGTACGCTGCAAACAGTGACCACTGTGAAGCAAGTTACGACTTTATGAAGATCTTTTGCCCTAAAGCGTGTGCTTTTTGTTGTAAGTATATGCTACTATGCTAGGCCAAAAAATACATTGTGCTTAAAGCTATACTCTCATAGAAGCTCTTGAAAAAATATATTGGTTGTTATTAATTAAGTCCCAGAATTAGTCTTGGGATAAATCTTTATTTAGTATTAAGGTGACTTTCAACTGTTTGCTACGAAAGCCGCGGATAGTATATTTCTTCCCTGTCTAAAGAGTCAAATAGAATTTAAGTTTTAGAGCCGGGTTAGAAAGTTTTCAAAGATTGGGCGTTTCCATGTATTGTAAACCATATAGCCAGGATTGATGGACTTATGAAGACCCAAATAAAAAACTGAATCGATGAATCACTTGAACCCCAGTCAGGATTCCTTGGATTCCTATAAAGAACTGAATTTTCCGGTGCCGAATTTGCGTTTTTCTTACACAAGTTGCAGTATGCGATGGCTGTCGGTCAACACCACATGTTGCAGAAGTGTTGCTTCACATACAGATAATAAAGGAATAGATTTAGAAATACCTCTTTTCCTTAATTTGGTGCTTGAAACTATCCTTTCCCTTGATGTATGCCGTTCACGATGTACGACCACAGTATAACCGCATTTCTATTCTCTGCAGGAAAATTACAGCCTGAACAAGAGAGAAGTTTGAATGTTAGATAACCGTGGCAGTTTCAGAGAAGCTCCGCAAGAACTTAATAAGTTTATCTGCATGGAACTCAGATCTAAGCAAAGCACAAGTTATGACTGTATATCGTTGTCAAAATAGCAAATGGGAAAACTTGCACTATTAAAAGAGATAAAAGCCATAGTCTGGAAACTCGGCCTGCACATTTTAACTTGTCCTATCTGTCTCTTTTCAAACGTTTTTGCATGTGGTAGGCGAGTAGGAAATTGACAACAAATTCTTACAGCTGAGTTTCCAGACCGTATTTTAATGGATGGTTTTCAAGTGACGTCAGATCGGCCATATTTGTGAACAACCTCAGCGGTTCACTGTTCATGGGTAACATGGCGGACCTATTACCCAAATGAAAACTATCCATTGACTATTTAATGAATTAAAACAGAAAGATTGCACACATTATTAAGGATTGATATTGGTTGGCCGTCTTCGGGTGCCGGCGAAAATATGATACGCTTAAATTCCGGCCGTTAAATTCCTCTCTTCGGAGTTGGTCTGACAATAAAAGAAATATATTTAAATATGGCGCTATAAATATAGCTTTTATATATGTATATGTATTTATATTTAGTTTTAAAAACAGTAAGAACGGAGCCCTATATTTAGGCTGCGTTCACAGCGGGACCGGACGAATTTGGTACCGTGCTCGAATTGAACTGGTTTCCTCAAATCTTCATCAAGTTTCTACCGTGTGAACACCCGAAGCGGACGAATTGGACCGCGGTTATAATTTCGTCCGGTCCATGTGTGAAGTAGCCTAAGCACACTTGCTATAAATTCGCACAAGAATTGAGGGAATGTAATATATACTGCTCCGTATAATCCGTATGAATATTATTCAATGAATATATATACATGGGGGAAACGAAAACACTTCAACTGTCCATGAACCTAATGTAGGCACATGCTCATCAGCATAGGGTAGGATATAATGAGCTATAACAAGCTAACTTAGCACGTTATTTTGTGTAGCTTGGTAAACTAGAGTAATTGCTAGACTATTAAGATGGACCAGGCTGTTTCAGTGTTTCCTATATATAGGAGACAACAAATTTCGCGGTAACAATTTTACGACGAAGGTGATACAGATATAAACAAGCTGTTATTATGCGCCATATCGGTGTTTAGTTTCCCCGACATCAGTACCACTACATCTTACCTTGCTTAAAAATGGATGTCTTCGCAATATATAAAGGCTTTTTGCGCACAAACAGATGCCCACTGACTCTCATAGCGGACATTAGACTCCATGTTTAGGTATCAAACGACGTCCAAAACTGTCTTTTGTGCTTTGGAAACGTAGGGGATCCCTTGTGAAATTCATTGTAGATCAGTGTTTTACATGCAATTTCTAATGACACTTCTGGGTAATTATGCAAGCATGTCAATTTGTCGATGCCAACTTTCATAATGAAGCAAATAATTAATTCGACAAGGAGTTATGCTTGATGCTTGATAAACAATCAAAAGCCTAAAATTGCTAGGCCAGTTAACCCAAGAACGACTGATGACGATTAATTGTCGTGACATACCGTTAACTCAAGTAGGAATGATGCAATTGCCTGGAGAACATTTTTTGTTGGAACTGAGAAAAAGAAATTTTTTGCCGTGTTATGTTATTCGGCCGATCCAGACGCTCAAAACAAAAGATCTAATCCTAGCCCGTCGCTAGAATTAGCTAATTGAGGGGGGGGGGGGGTGCATATTCATATATTCGTCTTATGCCCGACTGACTTCTTTTGTTGGCTACTGTTTCTACGGTTGTGCGAACATGAAAATATGAATATAACCCCCTGAATTAAGCGTCTGGCGACGGCCCTGATCTGATTTCAAGGTACGTTGACACCTTGGATTTAAACGGGACCTAAAAGGCCTTGTCTAAAAATACACACGTTTAATGTTCACGGATTAGGGAGGGGTTGGGTGGTCACTATGTCACCATGCTTTTTTTAAGGTATCCCATGCATATACCCCAGAATATCCTCTTTTGGAATTAGAGAAAATCAACATGCATATGCGCCTGGTATGATCATAAAAATTGTTTAAACCAAAATACATATAAAATATATTTTGAAAAATTTTCCGCTAATTTACAATTACACAATACTAATAACTAAAATTACATTACAATTAATCAAAAAATTGCATCTTATTTTCTGTTTGTATGATTGTATATTTGTATGTCGCTAAAAACACCTCCCTCCCCCTTCCGCCAATTTTTTTAAATGTGGCAACAGCAATATGGTGCTGTTCGTTTCCAAATAACACCGACCAGACGATGTCTCATCATCCGTAAAAACCGTAATCATAGCGAAAGAGAACACTTTCAGTTTTTGGAACTCGTCGGAGAATCACTTGTCGGTTATAAACTGCTAATCGCCGCAAAACTGCATTCTGTTAGCGTTTTGCCGTTTTATGGAAGCCATGCAGGGGCCGGTTGTATAAAACTATATTTTGCGTGGTTAAACCGCAGTATTTCTAACTTTTTATACAACTGGCCTAGGTTGCTATCTCGCCGAAACATTTTATTTTGCTGATGACCATCTTCGCACCCAAAGAAATGTCCTTCAATGCATGACAATTGACAGTACTCTTTGCCATATAAAAACCATAAGATTACGGATGAGTGATATAATCTTGTATACCTGACCTCAGAAACGCTGTCTCCGAGTCGGCGAGCAATCGGCATTGGTCGGTATTACACGGAATTCGCCACGGAATTGGGATTGCAAAACCCGTTGTCAAACTGATTACGGTGATAATACAATGCACACAGCATGAATCAATCGCAAGAGTAGGGCGATTAAAGTATACGAGTTTCTTATCATTTCTAAAATATCAAGATTAAATCTCTTCTTGCGTCTCTAATTACCGCCTGTACGGGACCCTAAAGTCACATTTTAAGCGTGACACCTCAAAGGCCACGCCTTTAGTCTTAGCAAAATTTGCTTGCAAGTTAATGATTATGTTATAAAATATCTTAGCCTAAAAGCCCATGTTTACTTTACAATTCACGAGTTTTACTTAAAAGATTACACCGTCCGCCCAACAATGGTTGCGAACAAGAATAAAATGCATACTTGTTTCCAAAGTATCTTTGAGAAAGTAGATAAATTTCTCCTTTTCTTGCAACATTAAAATGCGTTGAAATTTGTCGATATTGTCCGTCAAATGGAAGAATGAAGACGAAGAATACGCTCATTAGAAACAGACAGACGCCTTTCGAATTGAGTGGTTGGCATTGTGTACAGATTTTTTGTACAGACTAATTGACATCTGTACACAGAAAGTTTATCTGGAACAAATTTCCAACCGCATGATCTCCAGTAACTTTAACGCCTTGTCGAAAAGGAGACGGTTAAAAACTACCAATGTCTCGATGGAACAAACTCCCAACGAAAACATTCATGAATCCTCCAAAATTCCAATTTTCCTTGAAAGCTGAACAGGACTGGTAAAATGCCGACTTTTAACATCAAAAACAAACGTCATCCAGAAACAACTAACTTTTTGGATGCTTTCTTGGCATGCTTCGCGATGTATTAAAAAGAATTATTTTCATGTGATGATTCTCATGTTTCCATAACGTCCTCCTCGTTGTCATAGCGATCACCGGACTCGCCGTAACTGTCAGTATTCATGGAACACGCCGCACTATCGTCCCTATACGCCTTCTCAGTTTTGATTGTTCTATTGGGAAGAGTACTAATTCTCTTTGCGCTAAGCAGAGCAGACAACGTGGCCGTGGATGTATCGTTTGTTAAAGGTGTCACCGGAACGTTGTGTGCCCGGCAATGCATCTCCAGCTCCTGAAAGCACAATTCAGGTGAATGAAATGGCTTGTATACTTGAAAATGTTAGTGAAGTATGAATTCGAAATTCTAGACAGGCTAAAACGAGCTATGAGAGGCATATGAACCCGGTAAACTAAAACAAAAGTGTAGCGCCGAGGTTGGGCCAAACCACCAACGGACGAACAAACGAAACGAGACTGAGTGTGCAAGTAGCCAATGAAAGTAACGCATGCATCAACTGGAAAAACATGCATGCGCGATTTATACTTACTTGAATTCGTAGTAAAAGTTTTGAGTTTAGTTCCTCAGTCTCTCGGAACTTTTCGACATTCGATTTATGTCTCTCATTCTCTTTCTTCAAATACTTGATATAATCCACTGTACACTTCAGGATTGTGCCTTTATTTTGCTTCATATCACTGAATCATAACAGAAATACACGAATTAGGCTACAAAAATGCGGTATTGTTAATTTGACGAATCACATGCACCATTAGATTTATCATGTATAATCTATTAATATATAATGTACAGGGTGAGTCAAAAAAAACTGACACCTTTGAAATTCAAATTAGCTCCAATGTGTCTGTAATTGGCTGTAATGAGACGGAAGTTGCCTAAAATATCTTATGGGTATACGAAGCATATCAAATAAGTGAACAATTAATTAAGTAGAACGTAAAGTTTGTTCCCTTTGGGAGTTAAAATGCATTCTAAGCTCTGTAATAAAAAAGAACGTGGAATTAGTTCAATTGGTTTAAACACTTTCGCATTAATTAACCACGTCTTGTTGATTGTACACAATGGGAATCATCAAATTCCACCCATAAGTTCGCGGCTTATTTGAATTTCAAAGGTGTCAGTTTTTTTTTACTCACCCTGTAGAACGATTTTTAAATTAAGCCTGGTTTCCATATAACGCCGACGTCGGCAAAGTATTATTGTCGGTGATTACTGATGAGTGAAATCTTTTGTCTTTCTGAAATCATTTTCTCCTTGGATGATTACAGACAATGAGTCGGCGACAGGTCGGCGTCATATGGAAACCAGGCTTAAGTAACTATAGCTTGACCGCATCAATGGAGATTGTATAGCACTGTATATATCACACTTACGAGTCTTGTTTCGGAATCATAGTTCCCAGCTCCTTTATTCGGTCATTGATATTAAACCGTCGTCTTCTTTCAACTGGAAATCGTATACGAATATTCGTGAACAACAAACGAAAATTGAGACTCTGTGCATGCATGCAAGTAGTGATGAAAGCAATCAAGCTTAAATAGCTGCATATAGTAAATCAATTACGATTTTCTGGCACTCTACTCGACGAGGAATCACCTCTACATGTGTAGAGGGATATAGCCGTATCAATTTCCAGTGGGATTTATACACAATGCAAATTCAAGCCAGAAAGAGTTGAGAAAAGGTATTATAGCTACAGTATAGGCCTCTCGTGCATGCATCTATACGTTGAATTCTCCATAAATTCCAGTAGAAATTAAGACCATTTTCTATCCAGATTATAAGTGTGTAATCATATGGTATATTTCATAATCTATTCGACAATGAGGGAACGCTACGTCAATGTTATACTATACTATACTAAATTACACGTACATGTCATGTATGATATTTCGCGAAAAAATCTGACACGTTATGTTGTATATACTCACTCATATTATGATTATCTTTTTTCTGGCGATCTTTTAAGTACGTGACATGATTAAACTTCTCCATGTTGTTACAACCTAAAAAATTTATGCAAATATGCATGGAAGAGTTGAAACGAATGGCAGGAAAGTTAGGGCAGCGTTGTCGAGACGTATTTTTCTAATTATTTAATACGTGATAAAGGAATTACTTCCCATGCATGGCTTTGTTCTTTTCATGTACAGATTTCTAGTTCTGCTTAAAATTATTAAAAAACAAAGCGTGAAAATAATATCAAGTATAGAAATACTTACTTTCTTCACCAGGTTCCTGCTTTATCTTCGGCGGACAAGACGTTGAGATGGCATCTTGTAAAGGCTGTATGTAAAATAATAAATGTAATTGTTAATAATGAAAATATTTGATAATGATGAATAAACTAGAATTCGCGCAGTATGGTTGTTGACTCTCAGACGTGTAAGTAATATGCAATATGGCAGCAAACACAGTTGCTATGAAATTATGCAAGGTTGTCACTCGTGCACAACGTTGTTTACAAGTTGTACGTGACGGGTCGATAGACAATAACAATTGCAGTTTAACACGTTGTAACCAGCACTATATACAGTTTTACACGTTGTAACCAGCAAGGGGATGCAGCACAGCATTGTTTCATCAAATTTTGACTTGTTGCAGTATTCATAAAACAGACCATCTTTTATCTAATGTGTTACAGAATTCATGCATGAAGCACACCTTTTTTGCTTTGTTGCAGTATTCATAAAACAGACCATTTTTGCAACTACTTTGTTTACAGTTCAGCATACGTATATGCATATACTGTATAATGTCCGTTGTTTTCTGTTACAAATGTGGTGTACTATTATGACTTGGATCTTAAATACCTTATCGAGTTTGTAGTGTATTGAAGGGCTTTTTTAACAAGAGTTTGCATTGTGACCGGCGCCAGAATAACTGTTATCAATAGTACTTCAAACACCGAATATATACACACCCCGGCAGATACGTTTCGTCCGTTATATATGTCCGAGACACTGGCGGCAGCAGGTAACTGAAAAAAACAAAACAAACGATTAATAAAGTTGAAAAATCTAGTAAGACCTTGAAAAAGGAATAAAAACGCAAAAATAGACAAACTATTTGTTCATTTTAGTGATTATGAGGCGTTTTGCATTTCCAATTGCACATCTTCCTATAATATATCTACCACCAATTAGACGAATTATCACTGGATAATTTGTCTAATTGCTTGGTCTGGTATGCATGTACAGATTGGCTTCGAGCAGCAAAAAGAAAAGCAGCTTATCATACCATTCCTGAAAGGGCTTTTCGCTTGCAAGATCAGAATGTACGAGGTCAAAGGAATAATTAGAAATTAGAATGATTAGAAATTAAAATATACTCACCGCTAGAGTTGCATTAGTGCCGGCAAAGTCCAAAAAGTCAAAGCTATTATCCAGTCCCATTTGGTTGGCCACAGCATCACCTTCGAGACTTTAAAAAGAGAATAGTGGTTATTCGAGAGAAAATTAACCTTCACAAATAAACACCGCCTTGCCAAATGGATTGTACAGTAAAAAAAACTATGTTCAGAACACATATTGTATGTATATAGAATCACTTGGGTTAAAAGACGAAACTTTTATGGTTATCTAGAAAAAATACTATAAACAATTCTTACCTGATAATGTCATCAAGTATTTCATCGACCTGGAAAAGATTCAAGTAAAGCATGAAGACCTGTTTCAGGGTTGTCAAAGCGGGAAAGCATTATACCGATATTTACCCAAGTCATCCTTGATCGTCATGTTGAAGTGTGCCAACCCCAACCTCATTCCCAGGGTCTTATGAATCATGGTAAAGGCACACCTCAACACGCCCGACCCCAACTATCATGGTAAAGTTACCAACTTCTGGCTTCAACCATCATGTAAAAATTACCAACCCCAACCATCCTGCTAAAGTTACCAACAACCCCCCGACCACAAACATCATGTAAAAGTTACCAACCCCTAACCCCAACCATCCTGCTAAAGTTACCAACAACCCCCCGACCCCAAACATCATGTAAAAGTTACCAACCCCTAACCCCAACAATCATGCTAAAGTTACCAACAACCCCCCGACCCAAAACATCATGTAAAAGTTACCAACCCCTAACCCCGACAATCATGCTAAAGTTACCAGCCCCCTGACCCCAACCGCCATGTTAACGTTGTTTTCATCTTAAAAATTACTTACTTCTGATGCTCCTGTTGAACTAGCAGCCGACATTGGGCTATCTGGAGGCTTCGTTGCTCCAGCTAAACCAAGACCATCAGCAACATAGGGCAAAGTACTCATACTATTAATGGCATTCAAGGTGGCATGAGACGTCGGCGGTGTGAATCCTGGTGACGGAGCACTGCCGCCATGTTGGTTAATATACTCCTTCAATTTTCGCTCTTGGGTTTTATAAACATAGTATTTAGTGGGATTTTCTAGCTTGGTCTTGAACTGTTTCAGAGAAGAACATAAAAAAGCATGTCATTAGTAAAATTCGCATTAGAAGTAGAAGTAAGGAAGTACAAGTAGGATCAAAATTCGCATTCACCATTTCTAAACTCTGTTAAAAACCCATGGTATGCATGGCAGTCATATGCAAGTAAGTTGCGGAAGCCCCCATGCTAAATTTCCTCGTTGTACCGAGTACTTACATTTAAAACAGCGGGCGGGATGTGCGGAGGAAGAGTCTCCGTAGGCCTTGGAAACGGAATTGAAATTTCCGATGTTTGTTCAAGCTGTCGCTGTCGTTCCTGTTCCTTTTTCTTCTGCTCTTGTTTAAGTAAATGCTCGCGTTGCAGCTGAAGTTTCTGCTGGGTTCGACTCAAAGACATTTTATTTTCTTTTGGCTTAAACAATTCACTTAATATCGCATCAGCACCTGTACCAAGATTCTTGGTTGGTGTACTGCTGTAATGAATGAAAGAGAAAATGGAATTATAGGCTATATAAAATTGAAAGATACATATATACAGTAGAACTTCCCTAACTGAATAACGGTAAAGCTTGGATCTCATACCATGTCACCGACGGTTGGCGATGGCCTTATTCAGTGATTGAATGAAATGTTTTGTTATTTTGAATAAATTTTTTTCGTCACCAACCACAAACAATACATCGTCGACTGTCGGCGACATACGAGAACCAGGCTTATGGCCATCTTTGTCTGAAGATTAATAGACTTTTAGAGTTTTGACTTCAAACGTTGGAATGTTTTTGTGGTGTCTTCAGTCAAATTTGTTCCATGCGTTGCTTACGTTGTTTTAGTTATGTTAAATTGTGTTGTTGTATAATACAGTCCACTATCGCGAAGCCTGCAAAAACGGGTGTCTTCAGTACCACACAATAGTAACACCTTGTACGCGTTGGTCAGTGTTTTGAACGAGAGGTAGTCAATCAAAATGTACGTAATGCTAAATGCACAACTCCGCCTAATTAAAGTCAGAATTTCTTTCAAGTGTTTCCTATAAACTGAATTAACCTCGCTATTCATAGTTTAACCTTTACGCATTACTTCAAGTTGAATTCATAGTAGTCAAGAATATTGTTTTGTGGTATATGACTTTTCTTTCAAGTCCCCGCGATGACGAATTACAATCATTTAAAATACGTTTGCGTTCCCACTTCCCAGTGCTAAATTTATTGACAATTTATCAGACTAGAGTGAAGAAAATTTAGAGAATGAACGTAGGTACTCCGTTTTGTTTTCTATCTAAATACATCACGCCGAAAAAATTGTTGTGCCATGGTCCAAGAATAATATTTAAACTCATAGCAAGCCTAGATACAAGAAATCAATGTATTTTATACTCGCATTTGCACACAATATAAAGAAACAGCCAAGAAATATTACGTTGACTTCTGGAAACGAAGTGAATGAATATATCTAGTGTAATTAATCTTACCAACATCGGATCCAAAACTGGAAAATGAAATGACCCCCCTTCTTAAATACATTATAATTGTGTCTCCGATGTACGAAAGTAGCGCCAACTAAGTCTGACGATAGTTTTGAGAATGTCAAATAACACAATTCCATATAAGTGAGACTACACAATAGTTAAATACTGCATAAATTTGTGTTTAACACCCACCTATACAATATGCATTTCATCATGATCATATCAAGTAAAATTGCGACTGTTATTTAGACTGCACACGCTGTATCAAAATCAGACTTACAGCTACAATTTCTGCATGACAGTTCTGCAGCTCAACGGAAGATAAATATAAACATACAAATAAACAACAATCGTTATATACGGATGTCCAGGATGTATCCTGCCGTCTCATTGGACAAAATGAAAACACGGGATGATCATGGAAAAGCTCTTGATAACAGTATCAGACGACGTCATTGTTTATTTTTGTTCCATCTTTGCATATAAAAACCAGAACGCGGAAGGATTTTGACATAGTAATTTGTTACATTTTATGACGTGTATAATGTCAGGATAGAAAAGCAAGAATACATATACACGACCTTTCCAAATTATATTCGGCATTAAAAGCGATGAAAGGATAACATTACAGTTATAGCAATCATGGCCTTTTATACTTAAGCAAAACTACTCGGTAGAAAAGTGCGCCAATATTTATCTTTGTTCCTAACGCGCCCTCCTTGATTCCTTCCGGCAAAAAAATTTGAATACAAATAGAACTGGCGCTTGTAAGCAATATTATGAAGGTCAATGACAGTATTTCTTTCTTCTTGTCACTACAACGCGAAGTATTTGTTTGCAAAATATTGTCTGGCAGTTCTTTTCAAGTGAGGTCATTTTTACTCTGCACAGTTCTCGCGTGGACACTAATCAACTGGATCAAGACTTACTCCACTTCCACTATGTACTCTACTACCACTACATTACTTTTACTACTCTACTACCACTAGATTACTTTCACTACTCTACCACCACTAGATTATTTTCACCACTCTACTACCACTAGATTACTTTAACTACTCTACTCTACTACCACTAGATTACTTTCACTACTCTACTACCACTAGATTACTTTCACTACTCTACTACCACTAGATTACTTTCACTACTCTACTCTACTACCACTAGATTACTTTCACTACTCTACTACCACTAGATTACTTTCACTACTCTACTACCACTAGATTACTTTCACTACTCTACTACCACTAGATTACTTTCACTACTCTACTACCACTAGATTACTTTCACTACTCTACTAACACTAGATTACTTTCACTACTCTACTACCACTAGATTACTTTCACTACTCTACTACCACTAGATTACTTTCACTACTCTACTAACACTAGATTACTTTCACTACTCTACTACCACTAGATTACTTTCGCTAATCTACTACCACTAGATTACTTTCACTACTACTACCACTAGATTACTTTCACTACTCTACTACCACTAGATTACTTTCACTACTCTACTACCACTAGATTACTTTCACTACTCTACTACCACTAGATTACTTTCACTACTTTACTACCACTAGATTACTTTCACTACTCTACTACACTAGATTACTTTCACTACTCTACTACCACTAGATTACTTTCACTACTCTACTAACACTAGATTACTTTCACTACTCTACTACCACTAGATTACTTTCACTACTCTACTAACACTAGATTACTTTCACTACTCTACTAACACTAGATTACTTTCACTACTCTACTAACACTAGATTACTTTCACTACTCTACTAACACTAGATTACTTTCACTACTCTACTACCACTAGATTACTTTCACTACTCTACTACCACTAGATTACTTTCACTACTTTACTACCACTAGATTACTTTCACTACTCTACTAACACTAGATTACTTTCACTACTCTACTACCACTAGATTACTTTCACTACTCTACTAACACTAGATTACTTTCACTACTCTACTACCACTAGATTACTTTCACTACTCTACTAACACTAGATTACTTTCACTACTCTACTAACACTAGATTACTTTCACTACTCTACTAACACTAGATTACTTTCACTACTCTACTACCACTAGATTACTTTCGCTAATCTACTACCACTAGATTACTTTCGCTAATCTACTTCACTTTTCTACTTCCACTACATACTCTAATATCACCACTATACTTCCACAACCACATACACTTCCACTGTTCCACAACTGTAATTCTCCACCACTCTACTTTAATAACTTTGCTTGCACTGAGTGGTACTCTACTTTCACTATCTACTTCCGCTTTCCCATAATTTTACCACTCTACTCCCACCACTCTGCTTGTCTGACTTTACTATTCTACAACCACTACTCCACTTCATTAACAACTACACAACAACTCTACTTCCTTAACTTTACTTAATCCACCAATTTCCACCATTCTGCTACCACAACTCTACTTATCCACCACTTTATATATATGTGTACTTCCACCACCCTACTTTCATTTCTCTAATTCCACCATTCTTCCACCATGCTTCTACTAAATTAATCTTTAATAGCTTTAAATAACTTTACAGGTGGTCTTAAGGCAGGTCTATGACAATGCTAAGCCCTAATGCCCAAACCAAATCAACATGCCACCCAATTGTGTGCAATTACCTAAATTGTTTCATTAACTGTCCAATAAATGTCAATGTCACCAATAGAGGAAGTAAAACAGGTTATCAAAGGCAGGTATAATTTTTTATTGTCTTATTTTTAAATTTTAATTAAAATGGGACTTTGTCTGAAACACAAGTATATTAATATAGTAATAACAATGAGAAATTTAAATTGAGCTAATCCAGTTGAAATACTATGACTTAATGACTTCTTTAAATAACCTCATATCTTATCTTCAGCAAATCTATATGGAGACATTGACATTTTTGTATCATTTTCATCTTAAACAACTCAGTTTCATACTTGAACTTAAATATTAACAGTCCTAGCTTTAGTCGTATGTATTAATTAGCAAAATAATATTATTGAAGACTAACATTGAAAACTAAATTGAAAACTAACACTACAAAATAGCATTGTTTAAATGAACTAAGGTATTAAGGCCATATACTTAATTTAAAAAGAACTGATGAAAATTTGATAAAAAAATGTAATATACCATACAAATAGGCTCAAATGAAAAATGTGTCTTGAATACTTCATTTCAAGTGGGTAGAAGAAAATTTATTTTGGCAGACAAATATTTGGAAAAAAGGTCTTTTTTTGTATCCAACAAAGTATGCACTGTGAGGATTGATACAGGCCTATGAACTAGGTTTAAACAAGACAATTGTTGTTAAATCTATAAAGAAAAATATATAACAGGGCTTAAAAAGACTTAAATAGGTAATCGAGCAATGCTGTGTATCAGGTTTGTATTTAGAGAAGTTTGGTATTTCCAGCTAGACACCCCTTAGTATTAATCACTTCAACCACACAGTCACATGAGCTCTGTCAAGTCAGTTTTTTTTTCATGAATAATGAAAAAGCTGCAAAACTTTTGAAGTAATCTTACATTATAGTCAGCAGAACACACACCAGTATGTGAATTTGGTATATCAAATATAATACCAGCTATATCAAATATAATTCTTTGTTCCCTGGGATTAACGAACGACTTTAACTATTCTTCTACCGAATCTAACGAATCGCTTACTAATACGGGCGTGTGTGAATGGTGAAGACGTAGAAATTTCTAATTTTCAATTATCTAAACATCGAGTATGACGGGGAAGTCCCATCAATATGTTCAATGACAGCTATTTTTGCGCATTTCTTTAGCCTGGGTTTCTGAATTTCCTCAATATTGCCACAGGAAATGGGCTAAATTATGTAAAATTAGAATAAAGTAAGAAATTCTCCTTGTATTGTGACCATACAAATATAATACTAGATATAAATAATGAAGTGTATATATATATATATATAACGTCATATCAGTAAAGCACGTTGAAAAAAGCTTTCGTAAACCACACATCAGTTGCAAAATCGAGCGACCACATGTTGTCGATGAACAAAAAGTGGCTTTTATCACAAAGCATAAATCCGAATTGCCATGCGGCAGTCGAAATTTTAACAGAGGGCAACCGGAACATCCGTCCTTCCCATTTATAGATCAATAATGGCGAATGAAAAATCTCACAAATCATTGCGCGAAATCAGCAGAAAAGACCGGTAAACAAGTATTGCGTCGGAGCTCGAACGCTTCTACGCTTTTGGCAGTAAAAAGTCGTACAAATACCTTATTACATCATCCAACGTGCGAGATTGAATCTCGTAAAAGCCGACCTTCGGCTGAAATTCTTCGAGGATATCGCCTAAAATGTCAAATTCGAGGTCGACGCCAGATTCTTGCATTAGGGTACTTTAGGAGAACTGCCGAGCTGTGATTCAAAGTTGTCCTGAACAAGCTGTGTACAATCTAGATCCGTGTAGAACTGCATTTGAAAACAATCTTTTCACAACACCGTTTCCTGCTTCGACATGTTGATGTGTGTTGCTCCATAAAGCCATCCTACGCGTCGCTGATTGGTTAGTTTCTGATAAATGACGTAATCGGTAAACAGCATGATATATAACTAAATTTTGGCATAATTTTAAAATACATTTACGTTTGCACCCACATGTGGATTCGAGTAAGTGCTTGAAGTTTCTCTTTTACTTTGCACAATTCAATTCAGTGTTGCACAAAGCCATGTAAAACTGATAGAGATGTTAATATTTCGTTCATGTAGGAAGTTTGATTTTCCGCGAAAATCGGAATGTGAGAAGCCAGCGTGACTAAAGAGAACTGAATAAGGCGTGCCTTCCCGGAAATATATGCGTGGGAGTTTCGAATGTAAGCATGTAACAAGAACTCCGTCGGTCACTGCAGAAACTCAAAAAAAACAATAGTTAACAAGTTACTCAAGGTGACTAATTCTTCAACAACATCTCATAAGGTATAACGTTCAGGATTGGACGTACAGTAATATACAACGTTCAGGATTGCCTTGAAAGAAACTTCTTGACGTTTCTACAGTTTGAAGAGTTGGTGGTTTATACAACAACACACAGATACTGGTTTGGAAATTGGTTACTCGATCTGGAAGAATAATTCTTTTGGTCCAGGGTACATTTGATCGGCAATTTTGTGTTTTCCAGACTCCAGAGAGGCTGGCGCGATATGGGATATTAAACATGATCGGGGCCTGATAAGAGGCCGGGCTGACATAAAGGTGGTTGTGATAATTTGATGTATACAAGAGAATCACAATGCTTTTTTCACAGTTACTGTTCAATTGGTTAATTAAAAACCTGATGTCAACATCTAAAAATATTCAAGTTTGAAGTGAACCCTGTGAACTTTCCACCTTTCCGCCTACACTTTCCACTTGGCCGACTTGAGTTTTCAATACTCTAAGAGACTAAATCTTTTCAGTCAAAAATTACAATCATCTTCCAGGAAAGATTTTCCATTGTCGACTGATGATGCATTCATATGATTGAATTTCATTTCGACAATAACAAAATTGGTACATATATAGCTAAGCAATATCTCATAATTGACCCCAACTTCACGTACATTCTACCAGTAAAGTATTACCGACTAAAAAAGGCTAAATACAAGTAGTGCAAGTAGCCATTGTTTTTGGCCGAATCGAAGCAAGGTCCTTACTGTACATTACCTTTAATAACCTCCTGTTTAATGTCTGTACTTAAGTATCACTATTCGCTAATTTTACCAATTTATGACGGCAATGTTTTATGGCAAAATGCACATCAGGCATCCTTCTTGTTGTGGTCAATTTCGGCGATCTCGATTCACATTTAAAGATATCATGGCTGCATTCTTATGGCACCGTCAATTCGTACAACCTCTCCGTTCATCATCGGATTTTCAATAATGGCGGCCACCATGTGAGCGTAATCGGCAGGGTCACCCAGACGGTTTGGAAAAGGAACGCTCTTTGCTAAAGCATTTTGCACCTTTTCTGGTAAGCCTTCGAGAAGCGGCGTTAGAAATAACCCTGAAAATGAATGTACAACTAGCTCACGTCTATAAAGAAGGGAGTCAAAGTGGGGTGGTAAAAAAATTCCCCAAAAAGTAGTGTACAATGTACACATACAATGGTAAATACTGACATGTGGTAATCTGTGACTATATATATATCATTATATAAGATAAAATATACAGGTCAATATATTCAAATTTTAACTTGGGGTCGTTTTAACTTGGGGCCGTTTTTACTTGGGGCCGTTTTGACTTGGGGCCATTTTGACTTGGGGCCGTTTTAACTTGGGGCCGTATTGACTTGGGGCCGTTTTAACTTGGGGCTGTTTTAACTTGGGGGCGTTTTCACTTGGGGCCGTTTTCACTTGGGGCCATTTTTACTTGGTAAATACTGACATGTGTATATAAGATAAAATATACAGGTCAATATATTCAAAGACAAGGTATTTTTAAGTTGGGGGCGCTTTGACTTGGGGCCGTATTGACTTGGGGCCGTTTTGACTTGAGGCCGTATTGACTTGGGGCCGTTAGAAACGTGAAACGACGACCTTCATTTTTGAGAACCTTTTTAAAGGACATTTGTTCTCATAAGTACTTTTTTATCGATGAACTGTTTCTGAAATAGGTGACTACATTTACTTCAAAATAGAGTCTTACCTGGTGCCACAGTGTTTACTCTAATGCCATGCCTTGCGAGATCTCTTGCAATCGGAAGTGTCATTCCTACGACCGCTCCTTTTGACGCGGAATAAGCGACTTGCCCAATCTGACCTTCAAAGGCTGCTACACTCGCGGTGTTTACAATCACTCCTCTCTCACCTCCCTCATCTGGATCGTTCTTAATCATCGCCTCTGCTGATAAACGGATCATATTGAAAGTACCAAAGGTGTTCACCTGCGATGATATCGAAAAAGTAAGAATCATCAGTAAAGCCCGCTGAAGTATGCCTATATGCATGCCGTCACAATAATCACAAAATACAAACCTTAAGAACCGTTTCAAATTTGTCTAATGGATGCGCTTTCCCATCCTTTCCCAAAATTCTCATTGCAATCCCGATGCCAGCACAATTGACAACGGTGTTTAAACCTCCACATGTTTCTTTTGCATATTCAACAGCTTTTCGTACTTGACTTTCGTCTGTTACCTAACATGAACCACAGGAAGAAATGTTTAAAAAAGTATTATTTACTTGCCCGCACTTTCTTAGTCTTTCCAATCCATCCAGAGAGTGATATTCTAGGGGGTGAATATACAATACTTGGGGGGGGGTGAATATTCATATACTCATTTCTGCTTGACAGGCCGGAAATCCATTGGGCAGAAGCCTATAAGCAGTAAACTACATGATAATATTACATAAATTTAGCAAACAAACATGATTTTCAAGACATTGAGAAAATGGCAAGTATATGGCATTACATGCTTTACCTATATGGTTGTGCACCATATCCAAACCATTTTCACTGTGTCTTAGGTGTCACAATGTGTGTCTAAATTTTTCTATTTAACCATTTGGATATGACAAAACAATCTGATTTAAGATCTTTTGAAAAGTCTCTTTCAGTTGAAGGTCACTCCAGCACACTACTTAGAAATCTTCCACCAGAGTTTACATCAGAATACTGTGGCTCTTGTTTCCATTGGAAGTGGGAGCGCTAGCACTGACATACACCAAGACTGGATCATGCATAATATGCTATTAATAAATGAAGCCAATGGTAATGGTAGCTATGCTGAATGAAAAAATCTGGTTTGCTCTTGTAATGTTCCCTGAGGAGGTTCTATGAACCTTTCTAGTTGCAATTACAAAGGGGAAAATATGTCCCAGATAATAATAATTCACCATAATTCTTCCTTTGTAAGAAATTGCCTAATTGTAATTCAGCATGGTTGCTATACATAAGCCTAGTGGGTAAGTTTATAATTCTGTTTCATTCAGTTTAAACTGTCTCATTACTGGGTACTATAAATTTCTGCCCGGTCAACAATGTCATGTAAAGTGCAGACAGAACTGTTCACAGGGGAGAATGAAACGGTAAGTGAGTTCTAGTCTTCTAGAGAGGTTGGACGAATTAGAATAGTTGAAGCCTGGGGACAAATTGAGTGATGCTCAATACTTTTCACTTCATCAAAATTTCTAAATTCTAGTTTAATTAGTTCAATTATTGATTTATTATTGCTGAACAGCTGAAGAAAAGTGAAAAACTGAAAGTGCAATTGTGCAAAAATATATACATACATCGGTTGGACAAAAATAACAATCATTTCCGAGTTCTTTAGCAACAATTTGTCCATTACTTGAAGGAAGATCGACGATAACAGCCTTGGCTCCGTGTTTCTGTATGAGATGTTGCACTGTGGCTCTTCCAAGGCCAGACGCTCCTCCTGTAACTAAACATCTTAGTTGCTTTGCAGCCGCCATCTTGCACAAGAGGATTTCGCAATTGCGATACTTTGCAATACTTTAAGTAAGGTCAGTTAAACTAGTCTCCCACTGGTACCTAACTACAACCTACTATCTCCATGAAAGAAAACTAGAAGACATGTCTTCAGTTCTGGATGGATTTTCTAGGAAATGTGGAACTGGGGGAAGGAGCCTTGCCCCCCGGTATATATTTGATCTGACAGACTAAAGCTTCCAAAATCTTTATTGCGGGACTTTCTCGAGCCTCACCAAGTTCCCCAATAGGCGTTGTCAGTGATTTGGATCTACGGCATTACCTATAGCTGGAGCATTTTTTACTGGCGTAACACAAATATATATAGCTGGATTATTAGTAAGCGTTGCCAAGCTATATTTTCTGCATCAGCTACAACATTTCGTTAGTAAACTTGGAAGTCTTACTTGATTTATTAGATGCTCTCTGTGGCTGAGGTGTACTCCCGGAATAAAACGTCTGTCGTCCTTTATATTGCCCTAATCATATTGTGTCCAAGCTTGTTCAATGAGAACTACAAAACGTGCAGATCTAAAATACGACATGCGGTTCACGTCTAGCATATCTTGAACCTTTCAAGCGCGCGGACGGAACTATTAAGTACTAAGTGTGTGTTCCGTACACCTTGTACTATACGTCTATACCTATTATACCTTGCCCAATAGGTATTTCTTACCATAAGGCTGGTATATGAGATTAACTTTCGAAGTTTCAATTCGTATTCATTAGTTTCATATTTTTCTGACACTGCTACCGCTTACGGTAACTCCATCTAAATCCTTGAAATTTACAAACTAAGCTCAAATTGTGGCAAGTACAATAACGTGCATATTCTTTAGGAAGTGCTTTTGCACGCTGAAGGGATACTGAAGATTTCGAATCGATCGGCCGGCTTTCGAAATCTGTGCATGGTAACTTTAATCACATAAAACTTTAATGACATAAGTAACTATTTATAAACATTGTTTTTCTTAGAAGACGATGTGTTCAATGAGCATGAAATGCGTGGACAAAAGCTCCAGTCATATGATGTGGTTCGAAAGTTGTTCATTGTCATGATAACGAAGAATCCACAAGCACTTGACATTCTTCAGCTAAACGGAAACACGGTTTTAGGAAAGGCAGGAAGTCTCAAGAGCCGAGTATAAATTTGCCGTGCTGAAGCTGTATTGTACATTAGTTGTACTGAGAAGCTTGCGAGATGGGGACACGGCAAAGTTCAGACGTTCAAACGAATCCCGAGCAAAATTTCATAGGGAATGGCCGGAATGCTGAAACAGACAGTCCACATTTCGAACCCGTTCCAGAAAAGAGAAAGCATCGGGCAAGGTGTGTATCTGTAATAATATGCACGATTGCAGCGCTTCTTGTTATAACTTTCTGTATCGTCAACCGAACTGAGATAGAATTCCAACGTGATACGCCACGGAAAAATACAACGAATGTGTGTTACATAAAGAAGGAGAAGTTAGCCTTTTCCGGCTTGTTTACAACTGCGTTGGGCTTGTTTGGTGTGGTACTCGGCACATTAGTTGATCGCTTGTCGCTGATCAACGAAGAACGCCACCACTTGCACCAACGTTATCACGGCAGCTGGAAAGAGATGACCAGAGCTTGTTTCAGTGGAATCGTTTGGGGTCCTGTTATCGCTTTGCTTGGTTCGACTGCCATGATTACCGTTGTTCTTACTTTCGTGACGGGTGAGCCGTGGTTCAAGGTTAGTTATATCGTGTATATTTTCAGTGGTGTCGGCGTTGGACCACTTATCATGCACTTGCTTAACCTGAACACACAATCCGAGGTTCATATTTCTACGATCCTCGAGGACAAAGAGATGAATATTGCCAACGGACTCGCGTGGTCCTACTATTTTAGCCATCTTAGACAAGCATTGCCAACATTTAAGAAAGCCACATGCAACCGATTTCGTTCACCACACGAACAAATTAAACTGTCTTTGAACAAATTGCTGCTGCTCATACCCCACGACTGCAACATGACGGAAGATTTGAATGAACTCGACAGCAATATTACCAAACTGTTTGACCTCAATCATGAGCCTTTCCATTTTTCTATTTATCGCCTAACCGTTAACGAACGAGAAAACGAATATTTTGCCATACAATACGCGAAAGAGCCTTTAGAAGCACTGAGAGAAATGAGCGTGGTAGAAGAGGCCAAAGCTGTAACAAAAAAAAATTACGAGGAAGAAGTAAAATTGCTTTACACAGCATTGCGCAGAATATTGAAAAGCCCACCACATCAGGATTCTAGAGGGATGTGTATGCTCGTGCCTATCAAAGCGGACAACGAGGACAACTTAAAAAATGGAGGGCTAGTGAAATGTATCTTGGATGCAGTTCATTCTCGGCGGTTATGTTGTAAAAGCTTTGAGAACGGTACCCTTCCCGGATTCGTTAAACCAAAAAAAAGAGAAGTGTCCTTGTGTGGACTTGTAAGTTGCAAACAATCCACTCGAACTGAAGCATTAACAGATGATGTCACCATTCATGGCCCACAATTTCGAAAAAAGGAATGGAAGATCGACGTGGACCAAAGCAGCAAGCAAGATGATAAAAAGTTTGACAAAAGAGGGGTTATGTCTATGACATGGCCTAAAACGTTCAAAACCCACCTTAAATCGAAAAACCAGTACAACATGGTACAAGAAGAGGTCGGAGGCGAAATATTCAGTGATGATAACGGTGCCAGGACGTCTGAATACGGTTTCCAAATGGCAGTGTTGGGTCAACGAAGTAACCAGCAGGATCAATATTCTAAAACTTCAAATGATAAACAAGACGAGCCAACCAAACGAGAATTGTAGGTTATGCAGTAATTTTATTATTTTTAGCCAAGAATGGATGAAAAGGTTGCTCATGTGAGCGTGGTAATAGGCGAAAACTTGCGAAGATTGGAGAAAAGACATAAAGACTGGACGTTGATTAAGGATTATATGACCGCCATCTTTGAAGACAATTTGAAACCGAGTTTGGTACCAGTATCAGTCTCTTTCTGTTGTTTTTGTCGGGGCGATGGTGGACCGTAAAGACAAAACAATAGAAATGGCCTGGTACAAGCCTAGCACTGGTACCCAATTCGTCAAATTCACTGTCTTGACCAAGAGATTTCTGAGCAAATTACATGCACCCGAATGAGCAGAGCAAATTTTCGTATTAAAATTTTATTTCGAAGTAACTGTACATATAAATCGTGTGAAAACAATGTATTTACAATTAGAACCTATGTGCATGCAGTGACTTAATACAATTTACATTTACCATCCTTCTTTGGGAGGGAAATACGAGTGGTTTATGAGATATCCAAAATGATTGCGCGTGTACACTTATTGGTTTAATATTTTGAAGAAATACTCCACCTGCAAAAGAAACAGCTTGTCATAGATCAGATGATCTCGACGTCTTTACAATATCTCCCTGTTCAGGTGATTATACGACTTCGGTGTAGCTTTGAAACGAAGTCGAGGAGGGTGAAAATTATATAATTATTAAGATACATGAAATCACTGAATGCAACTCTTGTAAGTGTCTATTCTCTAGAAGGCATTTCATAAGTTACGAATTACGAATGGCTCATTCTTCTACTATAATCTATTATTTAATACTTGTATGTAATTTAATCCTTTAACTATAGACGTAAATGCACGGTCTATTGGAAGATCACTTTCCATTTTTGTAAATATTTTTTAACCATTGTGAAATAGTACCGTGGGTAAATAATTCAAATAATTTAATAATAATAAAGGTAACCACAAAACAAAAAGCGTTTATCGTGCTAAATCACGCACAAACTTTAAAACTTCATTCAAAATTCGATCGCAGTGATCAATAAAATTCTAATTGTTTGTTTTTAAAATTTTCAATTTTTAAAAGTAGAAATCACTCCTCGAGCTTAAAAGGGGAGTCTCCGCCCTCACTTCTACAGCACTGCATGGGGCCGGTTGTATCAAGCCCGTTTAGCTTTAACGGTGGATAAGTCAAATTTAAATAACAAGCTTACATCTCTCTTAATGAGTCAACTTGAATATTATGCACGAATATGTAGTTGTAAACAGTATCTTTGTATTAAGGTTAAAAACATTTAGTTTGCTTCTTGAATAAAAACATAGAATTGCTTTCTATTTTAAACTTAACAACCGTTTAAGCTAAACGGGCTTGATATTCTTATATAAAGCCGAGTGATGACAGTTTTGCAAGGTATCAGGATAGCAAAAATAGATGAAATATAGGGTGGAATAATAAAAGCTTACCTCCAAACTTGCGTCGTCTGGTAAGTCGGTACAGTGAACAGCATTTCTCACTTTGTCAACTCCAAACTTTGCGCGTAAAGTTTGGGGACGAAGATGTTTGGCAACTTCCTGATAGATACATAGTACAGGGTGTCTTAGCATATCTTGAACCTTTCAAGCGCGGAAGGAACTATCAAGTACTACGTGTTTGTTCCGTACATCTTGTTCTATACCTATTTCCCAATAGGTATTTCTTTCCATGAGGCAGGTATGAGATTAACTTTCGAAGTTTCAATTCGTATTCATTAGTTTCATATTCTTCTGACACTATATGCTACCGCTTATGGAACTCCATCTAAATCCTTGAAATTTACAAACTAAGCTCAAATTGTGGCAAGTACAATAACGTGCATATTCTTTACGAAGTGCTTTTGCACGCTGAAGGGATACTGAAGATTTCGAATGGATCGGCCGGCTTTCGAAATCTTCTGCATGATAACTTTAATCGAATAAAACTTTAATGACATAAGTCGCTATTTATAAACATTGTTTTTCTTAGAGGACGATGTGTCCAATGAGGATGAAATGCGTGGACAAAAGCTCCAGTCATATGATGTGGTTCGAAAGTTGTTCATTGTCATGATAACGAAGAATTCACGCTGTTGATATTCTTCAGCTAAACGGAAAAACAGTTTTAGAAAAGGCAGGAAGTCTTAAGAGCCGAGTATATAAATTTAATTTGCCGTGCTGAAGCTGTATTCTATATACATTAGTTGTACTGAGAAGCTTGCGAGATGGGGACACGGCAAAGTTCAGATGTTCAAACGAATCCCGAACAAAATTTCATAGGGAATGCTGAAACAGACAGTCCAGATTTCGAGCCCGTTCCAGAAAAGAGAAAGCATCGAGCGAGATGGGTGTCTGTAATAATATGTACGATTGCAGCCCTTCTTGTGTTAACTTTCTGTATCGTCAACCGAACTGAGATAGAATTCCAACGTGATACGCCACGGAAAAATACAACGAATGTGTGTTACATAAAGAAGGAGAAGTTAGCCTTTTCTGGTTTGTTTACAACTGCGTTGGGCTTGTTTGGTGTGGTACTCGGCACATTAGTTGATCGCTTGTCGCTGATCAACGAAGAACGCCACCACTTGCACCAACGTTATCACGGCAGCTGGAAAGAGATGACCAGAGCCTGTTTCAGTGGAATCATTTGGGGTCCTGTTATCGTTTTGCTTGGTTCGACTGCCATGATTACCGTTGTTCTTACTTTCGTGACGGGTGAGCCGTGGTTTAAGGTTAGTTATATCGTGTATGTTTCCAGCGGTATCGGCGTTGGACCACTTATCATGCACTTGCTTAACCTGAACACACAATCCGAGGTTCATATTTCTACGATCCTCGAGGACAAAGGGATGAATATTGCCAACGGACTCGCATGGTCCTACTATTTTAGCTATCTTAGACAAGCATTGCCAACATTTAAGAAAGCCACAAGCAACCATTTTAGTGCACCACACGAACAAATTAAACTGTCTTTGAATAAATTGCTGCTACTCATACCCCACGACTGCAACATGACGGAAGATTTGAATGAACTCGACAACCATATTACCAAATTGTCTGACCTCAACCATGAGCTTTTCCATTTTTCTATTTATCGCCTAAGCGTTAACGAACGAGAAAACGAATATTTTGCCATACAATACGCGAAAGAGCCTTTAGAAGCATTGAGAGAAATGAGCGTGGTAGAAGAGGCCAAAGGTGTAACAAAAAAAAATTATGAGGAAGAAGTAAAATTGCTTTACACAGCATTGCATAGAATATTGAAAAGCCCACCACATCAGGATTGTAGAGGGATATGCATGCTTGTGCCTATCAAAGCGGACAAAAAAGACAGCTTAAAAAATGGAGGGCTAGTGAAATGTGTTTTGGACGTAGTTCATTTTCGGGAATTATGTAGTAAAAGCTCTAAAAACGGTACCCTTCCTGGATTCGTGAAACCAAAAGTGTCCTTGTGTGGACTTGTAAGTTGCAAACAATCCACTCGAACTGAAGCATCAACAGATGATGTCAAGATCGACGTGGACCAAAGAAGCAAGAAAGATGATAAAAGGTTTCACAAAAGAGGGGGTAGGTCTATGACATGGCCTAAAACGTTCAAAACCCATCTTAAATCGAAAAACCAGTACAATGTGGTACAAGAAGAGGGCGGACGCGAAATATCTAGTGATGATAACGGTGCCAGGACGTCTGAACACGATTTCCAAATGGCAGTGTTGGGTCAAAGAAGTAACCAGCAGGATCAATATTCTAAAACTTCAAATGATAAACAAGACGAGCCAACCAAACGAGAATTGTAGGTTATGCTCATGGATGCTCATGTGAGGGTGGTAATAGGCGAAAATTTGCGAAGATTCAGTGGAGAAAAGGAATAAAGACTGGACGTTGACTGACGGCTATTTGACCGCTATCTTTGAAGACAATTTGAAGCCGAGTTTGGTACCAGTACCAGTCTCTTTCTGTTGTTTTCGTCGGCGCGATCGTGGACCGTAAAGACAAAACAATATAGAAATGGCCTGGCACTGGTACCTAATTCTTCAAATTGACCAAGAGAGCAAATTACATATTGCACCCGAATGAGCAGAGCAAATTTTCGTATTAAAATTTTATTTCGAAGTAACTGTACATATAAATCGTGTGAAAACAATGTATTTACAATTAGAACCTATGTGCATGCAGTGACTTGATATAATTTACATTTACCATCCTTCTGTGGGAGGGAAATACGAGTGGTTTATGAGATATCCAAATGATAGCGCCTGTGCACTTATTGGTTTAATATTTTGAAGAAATACTCCACCTGCAAAAGAAACAGCTTGTCATAGATCAGATGATCTCGACGTCTTTGCAATATCTCCCTGTTTAGTTAATTATACGACTTCGGTGTAGCTTTGAAACGAAGTCGACGAGGGTGAAAATATATAATTATGATAAGATACATGAAATCACTGAATGCAACTCTTGTAAGTGTCTATTCTCTGAAAGGCATTTCATAAGTTACGAATTACGAATGGCTCATTCTTCTACTATAATCTATTATTTAATACTTGTTTGTAATTTAATCCTTTAACTATAGACGTAAATGCACGGTCTATTGGAAGATCACTTTCCATTTTTGTAAATATTTTTTAACCATTGTGAAATAGTACCGTGGGTAAATAATTCAAATAATTTAATAATAATAAAGGTAACCACAAAACAAAAAGCGTTTATCGTGCTAAATCACGCACAAACTTTAAAACTTCATTCAAAATTCGATCGCAGTGATCAATAAAATTCTAATTGTTTGTTTTTAAAATTTTCAATTTTCAAAAGTAGAAGCCACCCCTCGAGCTTAAAAAGGGAGTCTCCGCCCTCACTTCTACAGCACTGCATGGGGCCGGTTGTATCAAGCCCGTTTAGCTTAAACGGTGGATAAGTCAAATTTAAATAACACGCTTACATCTCTCTTAATGAGTCAACTTGAATATTATGCACGAATATGTAGTTGTAAACAGTATCTTTGTATTAAGGTTAAAAACATTTAGTTTGCTTCTTTAATAAAAAGATAGAATTGCTTTGTATTTTAAACGTAACAACCGTTTAAGCTAAACGGGCTTGATATTCTTATATAAAGCCGAGTGATGACAGTTTTGCAAGGTATCAGGGTAGCAAAAATAGATGAAATATAGGGTGGAATAATAAAAGCTTACCTCCAAACTTGCGTCGTCTGGTAAGTCGGTACAGTGAACAGCATTTCTCACTTTGTCAACTCCAAACTTTGCGCGTAAAGTTTGGGGACGAAGATGTTTGGCAACTTCCTGATAGATACATAGTACAGGGTGTCTTAGCATATCTTGAACCTTTCAAGCGCGGACGGAACTATTAAGTACTACGTGTTTGTTCCGTACACCTTGTACTATACCTATTATATACCTTTCCCAATAGGTATTTCTTTCCATGAGGAAGGTATGAGATTAACTTTCGAAGTTTCAATTCGTATTCATTAGTTTCATATTTTTCTGACACTGCATGCTACCGCTTATGGAACTCCATCTAAATCCTTGAAATTTACAAACTAAGCTCAAATTGTGGCAAGTACAATAACGTGCATATTCTTTACGAAGTGCTTTTGCACGCTGAAGGGATACTGAAGATTTCGAATGGATCGGCCGGCTTTCGAAATCTTCTGCATGACAACTTTAATCGAATAAAACTTTAATGACATAAGTCGCTATTTATACACATTGTTTTTCTTAGAGGACGATGTGTCCAATGAGGATGAAATGCGTGGACAAAAGCTTCAGTCATATGATGTGGTTCGAAAGTTGTTCATTGTCATGATAACGAAGAATTCACGCTGTTGATATTCTTCAGCTAAACGGAAAAACAGAAAGGCAGGAAGTCTTAAGAGCCGAGTATAAATTTGCCGTGCTGAAGCTGTATTGTACATTAGTTGTACTGAGAAGCTTGCGAGATGGGGACACGGCAAAGTTCAGATGTTCAAACGAATCCCGAACAAAATTTCATAGGGAATGCTGAAACAGACAGTCCAGATTTCGAACCCGTTCCAGAAAAGAGAAAGCATCGAGCGAGGTGTGTATCTGTAATAATATGTACGATTGCAGCCCTTCTTGTGTTAACTTTCTGTATCGTCAACCGAACTGAGATAGAATTCCAACGTGATACGCCACGGAAAAATACAACGAATGTGTGTTACATAAAGAAGGAGAAGTTAGCCTTTTCTGGTTTGTTTACAACTGCGTTGGGCTTGTTTGGTGTGGTACTCGGCACATTACTTGATCGCGTGTCGCTTATCTGCGAGGAATCCTACCACTTGCACCAACGTTATCACGGCAGCTGGAAAGAGATGACCAGAGCTTGTTTCAGTGGAATCGTTTGGGGTCCTGTTATCGTTTTGCTTGGTTCGACTGCCATGATTACCGTTGTTCTTACTTTCGTGACGGGTGAGCCGTGGTTCAAGGTTAGTTATATCGTGTATATTTTCAGCGGTGTCGGCGTTGGACCACTTATCATGCACTTGCTTAACCTGAACACACAATCTGAGGTTCATATTTCTACGATCCTCGAGGACAAAGAGATGAATATTGCCAACGGACTTGCGTGGTCCTACTATTTTAGCTATCTTAGACTAGCATTGCCAACATTTAAGAAAGCCACAAGCAAGCCTTTTCGTGGACCACACGAACAATTTAAATTGTCTTTAAAAAAATTGCTGCTGCTCATACCCCACGATAGCAACATGAAGGAAGATTTGAATGAACTCGACAGCAATATTACCAGACTGCTTGACCTCAATCATGAGCCTTTCCGTTTTTCTATTTATCGCCTAAGCGTTAACGAACGAGAAAACGAATATTTTGCCATACAATACGCGAAAGAGCCTTTAGAAGCACTGAGAGAAATGAGCGTGGTGACAGCGGCCAAAGCTATAACAAAAAAAAATCACGAGGAACAAGTAAAATTGCTTTACACAACATTGCGTAGAATATTGAATAGCCCGCCAGATCAGTATTGTGAAGGGATGTGCATGCTCGTGCCTATCAAAGCGGACGAGGGCAGCTTTAAAAATGGAGGGCTAGTGAAATGTATCTTGGACATAGTTCATTCTCGGTTCATTAGTAAAAGCTCTAAAAACGGTAGCCTTCTCGGATTCATGAAACTGAAAAAAAGATTGTCCCGGTGTGAAGGTTTCAGACGTCAATCCAGTCGAGCTGAAGCATTACAAACACATCAAAGAAGCATGAAAGAAGAAACGGTCGGAGGCGAAATATACAGTAATCATAAACAGGCCGAGTCAATCAAACTACAATTGTTGGATACGTAGCAATTTTATTATTTTTAGCCAAGAATGGATTAAAAGGATGCTCATGTGAGAGTGGTAATGGCCGAAAACTTGCAAAGATCGGAGAAAAGGCATAAAGACTGCACGTTGGCTGACAGTTATTTGACCGCCATCTTTGAAGACAATTTGAAGCCGAGTTTGGTACCAGTACCAGTCTCTTTCTGTTGTTTTCGTCTGCGCGATCGTGGACCGTAAAGACAAAACAATAGAAATGGCCTGGCACTGGCACCCAATTCTTCAAATTCACTGTCTTGACCAAGAGAGTTCTGAGCAAATTACATATCGCACCCGAATGAGCAGAGCAAATTTTCGTATTAAAATTTTATTTCGAAGTAACTGTACATATAAATCGTGTAAAAACAATGTATTTACAATTAGAACTATGTGCATGCAGTGACTTGATATAATTTACATTTACCATCCTTCTGTGGGAGGGAAATACGAGTGGTTTATGATAGCGCCTGTGCACTTATTGGTTTAATATTTTGAAGAAATACTCCACCTGCAAAAGAAACAGCTTGTCATAGATCAGATGATCTCAACGTCTTTGCAATATCTCCCTGTTCAGGTGATTATACGACTTCGGTGTAGCTTTGAAACGAAGTCGAGGAGGGTGAAAATTATATAATTATTAAGATACATGAAATCACTGAATACAACTCTTATAAGTGTCTATTCTCTAGAAGGCATTTCATAAGTTACTATAATCTATTGTTTAATACTCGTATATAATTTAATCACTTAACTATAGACGTAAATGCACGGCCTATTGGAAGATCACTTTCCATTTTTGTAAATATTTTTTAACCATTGTGAAATAGTACCGTGGGTAAATAATTGAAATAATTTAATAATAATAAAGGTAACCACAAAACAAAAAGAGTTTATCTTTATACTTTAAAACTTCATTCAAAATTCGATCGCAGTGATCAATAAAATTCTAATTGTTTGTTTTTAAAATTTTTAATTTTTAAAAAAGTAGAAGCCACCCCTCGAGCTTAAAAGGAGAGTCTCCGCCCTCACTTCTACAGCACTGGGGCCGGTTGTATCAAGCCCGTTTAGCTTAAACGGTGGATAAGTCAAATTCAGATAACAAGCTTACATCTCTCTTAATGAATCAACTTGAATATTATGCACTAAATATGTAGTTGCAAACAGTATCTTTGTATTAAGGTTAAAAAAGCCGAGTATAAAACCGAGTGATGATCATGACAGTTTTGAAAGGTATCAGGGTAGCAAAAATATATGAAATATAGGGTGGAATAATAAAAGCTTACCTCCAAACTTGCGTCGTCTGGTAAGTCGGTACAGTGAACAGCATTTCTCACTTTGTCAACTCCAAACTTTGCGCGTAAAGTTTGGGGACGAAGATGTTTGGCAACTTCCTGATAGATACATAGTACAGAGTGTCTTAAAAAACTGCAAACACTATAAGGCCAAGGTTAATATAGTCCCAAGGTCAAAAACATAGAATTTCTTAATTTTGATCGTTCTAGGATTCACCGATTATATAATGTATTGCACTAAATACTCTTAAAATAATGATAATGTTTACTAGTAATTCAGAAAAGCTTACCGGATCGGATGGTCCAACAAAGTCTCGAAAGGCTTTGTGTACATCCCCTTCACCGCAGACCTCAACTGCAATACATGGTCCACTGCACAGTTCATCCACCATTTTCTGAAAGGAGAATGGAAATGAAGCTTTCCCACGGGCAACCTTGGTAAGTTTGGAGGAATTTTCATAGGGTAAACTCGATGAACATTAGTAACTTACACTATACTCTAGCACAACACCCTTGTAGACTTCAAAAAATTCTTCTGCATTTGCCACCTCCATGTGAAACTAAAGAGAGCGTTCAGAACAATGTAAATGGGTGAAAGTTTTTTGTACGGTTTTTAGTAACGAAGCGCAGAAGCCTTCAACGAGGACAACTGTCACGCCTAGGTTAAGCGTCGCATGCATGTTGGTCGCGTCGAATGCAATTCAAACAATAGATTATGAGATCACAAAACTGATCATTAAGCTTCATTATAATCTCATCTATTGTTCGAATTGCATTCGACGCGACCAAAAAGCGGCGCATAACCTAGGCCACAGCGTTAGGATTAGCGTCTCCTACCATTTGCAAGGCGTTCAAGTAGAAACCATTTTCTTGCATAGCTACAAGTATCTTTCCTGCGACACCTGGAAGATTTGAAATATACACGTGTTCATACAGTATACAATTTATGCCATAGATTATTATTGCAAATTTTATCGCTTAGTAATTTTCATATAATAATTATCGGACTTCCACACGGCTTTACCAACCTTCCTTGACGGCGTGAGGTTTAATAATACAAAGCGTGGAGTCTGCACATCTTGCTGTGCTGCGTTGCCTTGCAGTTGGTCCGAAAAAGAAATCGGTCTCCTTTCGAAAAAAATACATCTTAATATTAGTACTACATTGTAAATACATGTAGTTATTCTAGAAATGAAGTTATGTAACATTGTTACTAAATAATACATAATACATATAGTTATATTCCAGGAATAAAAGGACAGTGAAAAATAAGATAGTGAACGAATAATAGTGAACGAAGTTCAGATGAACCATAATTTCAGCACTTTATACATGGCTCAGAATAACACAGCTATCGTACAATAATGCGTCCCGACCAACAACTAAGACCCTGCCTTTTCGGGGACAGAAATTAGGTCTAGTCCACTAGAAACATATTAACAGACATATCGTGTTGTGCAGACGTCGCATGTCCAGTTGCACTCACCCTATTTGCAGACTGATCCGAATCAGAACCATGACAGGCATTCTTCGTGTTATCTTTTTTAAAAAAAAATGAAATGTGATATAGCAAAGATCTAAGTTAAACGCTTCGAGCAGCATCAAACTCTCGATTTCTTGTGTGGCAGATTCCGATAACCAGGGAACTTCTGTGCGCAATACACTTGTTATACCTACATCACTTCGCTGCAATAAATCTATATATCAAATATAGAATTTCATTGCAAGATGCAAGATATGGTGCAGCAAGGCTTTAAAGCAACATCTTTTGTAGACAACAAGTTAGGTACTGACAAATGCATTTTACAATTCATAAGATACCAAGGAAAACAAACATACCGAATCCGAATCTTGCACGAAGAGAACCAGGAGCTTCAGTTCGTGCTGCTCTAGAATCGGTGGGACCTGTAACAGCCATGGTGAATATTACCATTAACACATATAAACGTTTGTGACATTGGGGGCCTTTGGGGCCAATCTTCGCGTTATGCCGTAATTCCACACTTATTGCATGTTAAAAACAAAAATCATTTTATTTATGTCAATCATGTGTTGAAGAAGAATGTTTCGCTTCTTTAACTTTGGTAGAGTTAATTCCTAAGTTGAATTAGCAATAAAGTTGGGACGTGATTACCATTTCAAGAATCAGTGTTTTTTTCACCTTGTTATACTCATACCTATTAAAGATCTCCAGCGACTAACTGCGCTTTCTGCCTTCAACTCAATAGCAAGCACAGGTCCAGAGGTCATGAAAGACATCAGATTACTACAGGTCACATAAAGAAAGGATTATAGCACTTCGTAAAAACTAACAAATTAGCTACTATTATTTTTCTAAATTAGCTAGAAAAATAACAAATTAGCTACCTGCCCATGTCTTATTTGAAAGAACTCTCATTATTTATATAGCTAGCTCTATTTTCAGTTTTTTGTATTTTGTAAAGTGGTTTAGGTAGGAAATTAGAAACCAATTTTTTTTGTTTTTTGTTGCTTAACCTTTGATGTCAGCCTGGCAAATCGTAAAATTGCATTCAGTTACAATATAGAGATCCCCGCACGCTCGATTTTCTTAGCTTAGCCACTAGTCTCAGCCTCGTACCCAGGCGCTTTAATAGTAAAATATATAATGTTGCATTCAGTTATAGTATAGAGGTCAGTTGAATAAAGGCGAGCGCGCGGGGGTGCTTGGGGTGGTTTGGGGGAAGGAAGCTTCATTCTTCCGTCGCGTCCACCCCAAGCACCCCCGCGCGCTCGCCTTTATTCAACTGACCTCTATACTATAACTGAATGCAACATTATATATTTTACTATTAAAGCGCCTGGGTACGAGGCTGTATACAATAGCTAATGTGATTCAACTCAGCGCCGCGGGCTCGGGAAACGACACTCACACAGCGTCTGGGCACGAGGCTGGTTTCCAGGATAGTTAAATTTCACAATGAAAAATTTGACGACAAAAACTTGTTCAGACATGATCGGAGAAAAAACCCCACTAGAATTACGTACTTGAAAAAAGGCTTGCCAAAATGCTCTCCATAAAACTGCTCAGCTTCGTTTCTAGACAATGGAGGTTAATGTCGCATTTTGAAAACTCGACAACTGTGATCATTTACACAAAGTTTGTGGATTTTTCACCGTACCTTGAGAAAACCACAGACTTCATGTTACAAATGGCAAAGCCATTTTGGTAGATGGTATCAATAATGGTACCTACAGAGGTTGAATTTGATTAATACGAATCTTGAACGAGATATACAAGCGGCTAAGGTGGGGATTCAATCCAGTAATTTACTGATCATGCTCTAGGTTTTAAAACAATGCTGTGATCAATACGTGGGGTTGTGGATAGGGCCTCCTACCCGCAAGCCCCGCGTATGACGAAAGGAAGAGCAAACGATGGTAATTATTATTTAAGACTAGAAGTTACTATCGCAAGTGAAGTGCTGCCTCACAGGCATAGGGTATAGCCACAAAACACAAGTAAATAGAACTACAGCAGTACAATGTACACAAAAGTGACAATTCTCATATGTGTATACACCTACCCACTTCTTGGATGGCATCCGGTTTAACCATAGCAAAGGTTCTATATTGATGATTATAATGACATGAATAAGACTGATCAATGCAATAAGTTTAAATACTAAACCACATTACTAAAACGGCATATTATATTGTACTAAAGCAGGCCTTATTAATACCTACTTTTCATTTTTGGATTTCAGACGGTTGGATGTACTTGTATCAGCATAATCTTTTATTGTTAACTAGTGAGAAAACAAAAAAATATTGTTTTTTTGCCATGCATGTGAAAGAAAAGTTAAACAGGTTTAACACGCATCAAAAAATTTAAATTTTATACCTGTCTTGAATGAATGTTCACGACAGCACCAATGTGCAAATCATGTAATCGAATGGCCTCACACTTTGATCTCTTCAGAAACACCCGTTTGTTTTTAATATCAAACTAAAATTATGTTTATAAATATATAATGTTATAAATATTGCTAGTGCATAAATTGCATGCTGTTATAAATATTGCTAGTGCATAATATTGTCATAAGCCTGAGAAAATTACAAATGTACAGTAGTATATACTAGCTGGCAGTATAATAATTGCATTCGACAAAGGAGGATGCTTCCTAGCCGTGTCTAATTGAGATTAGCTATGTCAGATTTGCCTCGTTCTGAGGTATTGTTATAGTAACTGAAGACCATGTGGTTGCTCTATTTTGACATTTTGTTGTTAATTAAAGCATATGAGCCATCACTGCAGTTAAATTACTCATTTCGCAAGTAACCTTTAAAATTACATATGCTGTGAACATTTTTGTTAATGATTGTTAACCGAAATCAACACATTCCGAACAAACATCACAATATAAATCTGTGATTACTGCTAGTTGTATTGCCAGTTTTTATCTTTCTGGCCAGATGTTTTACATCATTCTGAAAGTTAATTTATAGGAGTTTAGATATAAATTCTTCCACATCATTGACTATGAAGACAGGACAGGTAGCCCATTGATCAAAGTAGCCATACTCTACTTTCAACACACGCCATAGTATATTATGTATTATTGTAATTGTTTTCATTACATATTGGCAACTCTCACTCAAATTTTCACATATACAATTCATGCCACCTGCGATCGGGCTACTGTGCTGTTATTAATTATTCTCAATTGTTGGCACTTTACAATGCTTTTTGGGGGAGGGGCAACTATAGGAAGTAATTTGACAACAGCTGTTGTTATATAGATGCTATGTATTTTAAATGTGATTGGTTTATTTATTAGTCACATGACTTTAAATAAATGCAATGTTTCCAGCCAGGGAAACAAGTGAAAAATTGTTGCCTGCATATTGTCATAACAAAGTAAAGTTTTTTCTAATGAAATTGTTGTCTTCCTGTACAGTACCTTGGGAAATAGTGAGTTTGTTTTCTCTCTAGTCTCAATGTTAATCCCTTGGCTTCATCTCGGAAAAACATTCAGACTCTTAGGAAAGCAAAACTCAAAAGATTTCCCTCGGGAGCATACATTAAGTATATCCCACTTTTGAGTTTTCTCCATATTATATGATGAACAAAGGTGAGGCAAAAGGGTATTTGTTCAATTGATTTTTCGTCAAAATTAAGACCTTAAGCTTTTTCTGATAGAACACTTAAACAGAAACAATTAAAGGAGTATTTCATGTCATTTATCCATATCAAACTAGGAGTAAATCCATAGAATCAAGTTTAAAACACAAATACAAATCAATAATATACCTTCTCAGGATCACAATATACCATTTTGTTAAGAAAAACATGGTTGAACCCTGAGGGTAATTTAAAACAATAGGAAACACAATGGAGGTCTATTCCATTATTAGTTTGACTAAACTCTTTACAGGTTTTAAACAATCCGAATACATAAATTAATATATATAGTGATTATAGTCAGGTCCTGATATTAAAGAGTTTGTACAAATTATTTTTGACATACTTCATATACCTTCAAGAGGCCAACACATGGCAGGACAGGGGGAGAACACAGGAAAATACACACAATATAAACTAAAATGCTTGACGAACTGTATTGGGCCTTACCATTTCAACAGTGGTGTCACTGGGATAATAAAACAGTTGATATTTTCGCGTCAGGGCTGCATTGGGATCGTACCAATCTGCTATAAAAGCGTATCTTCCATCAAAACTTGACATCCTAGCTCGCCTACGACTGTTAAACAAAATAGATCTCAGTAAGGAAGGCTGTAAAAACGATCGAATTTTGCAGCAAACTAGAAAATAATTCAGTTCAAATGAATCAAGTAAACTTGTTGTTTATGGCAACAAGCCTCAAATGCCTGTTAATTTTAGGGTGAAATATACACTGATCTCGAGTATACTGGAACGAGGTGCTGTAATTTTTGAAACACAACCATGTATTAAGGTGACTCCCTACAGTTTGGGAAATATGGCAAAATGTGACAAAATGACAAAATTTTCGCAAACGATTTCATGCTGAAGCAGAAACATTTCTCACATATATCAACCAACATTCTAAAAGCCAACGTTGTAATATTGGTCAATATTTATCTGTGGCAGTGGTACATTTAATCGTGCCAAAAAATTATATCTGAATCACGGGTTTAATTGTTTGCCATATTTCCAAAATTGTAGGGAACCGCCTCAGAAGATTGCATAATTGCATTGCCAAACGTTGTTACGCGTAACATCTGTTTGCCAAATTAATACATGATTGCAAATGATCAGTCCATGACGACCATGACTCTATGTGATTAAGAAAATACCCTTGTACTTGTCCACTCCCACACATGAAATCAACCTTTCTTTGGAGTTTGAATGCCTAATTACTATCCTTTGCACCCGTTGTCTTAGCATAACAATCAAGGAATTTAAATTTTTGTGGCACCCTGTATGCTCCAATGCTTCATTTCAGGAAAGTACCTTGTTTAGCACTATTTTCTTAATCACATGGACCGATCATTTGCACTCAAGTGGTAGTAATTCGGCAGTTAAAGTCATTATTAAGAACAGTCAAGGTGATGTTACACGAACACATTTTCAGCAACTTGCAATTGAATTAAGATTATATGGAAGTAATGGAACTTGATTGGTTTCTAAATCATTTACATTGTGACGAGCATACTGCATACGACATTGCGACGATACACTACGAGGCGGCAAAAAGCCAAAAACCGTCTGCAAAATCGATTACCACCATTTTCATGTTTGCGATTCACTTCCTAGTGAAGACAATAAATTTGCTTGAAGCAATAATTCAATTATTTCAATGCAAGTTTATGTACGACTCTGCGATAGTTAAAAGCAGCTTTTAATGGTTTTTATAAATAGATATTACGACCGAATAATTATTCCATGATTGTTGTTGGTTGTGGCTGCAGCTTTATTGATCCGACTTGCATATCTTGATGACGTAAGCGTATCATAAAAATCATAAAAAATTTAGCATGGAATCGGAAAGAAATATTTCTTTTCCTGATTTCGAGTCATGAATTTCAAAAATATCGTTGCTGTATGTTGGAATATACAGAATTTTATATAAGTAAATAAGTAAATATGCAAGAGGCCCCCACATCAGAACACGAATGACTTTGGACTGCAGTCTGCTAACATAAAAACATACTCAATAATTTAATAAAAATCACATTTACATAACAGTGAAGCCCTCCTTGTTACATTATGTAATGTTAACTATAAGCCCGCTTTGTTAGTTTTCTACACATCAATTTATCACTAATGGAAATGCAGCGACTTGAATATACCAAAAAACTTTTACGAGAATTTTTTTGGACTGAAAGTTGGTAGTATATATTTTTGCAACAACGAAGCGTCCACACAACCGCTCCAAATTTTATAGTTGTCCATTGTATTGCATTCTTTGCAGCGACATAGGCTCCATTAAGCAGTACAGCAGATTGGGTAATCTAATCTGAGGGCGCTTTCGTTTAAGATTGAAAATTGGAATTAGGAAATCTTCGACAGAGTGGCACCCAGAGTTTAGTCAGTTTAGAAATGGCTCTCAATCAATGCATACAAGAATTAATAGTTATTACTAACTAAACGTATATTTTTAACCGCGTGAGTTCCACCGTACTGCCTTAATATACGCCAACATTGGCAAGCCCCTTTTATTAATTTGCGTATTCAATTGCCAAGATTTTCCAAAGTTCTTCAGTGAGTGTTATGCGGCTCATGAAGTACTTGCACTTGGGTACTTCATTTTGATGATTTCTGCGACATCTTGTGCTTGGTTTGTGCATACCTGAAATGTAATATTATTGTTGAATGAATTTGACCCATCTACTGATAAAAATCCGCGATGCTGTTTGAGAAATTGCTTTTGGTTTATTTAAAACAACATGCATTGAACAGCACTCACTTAACAGCGTCTTCAACATCCATCAAGAGTGCATCTTGTCTCACGTGTAGCTGATCTCGTATCAGTAACTCCTCAACCAACTCGTCTGATACTTCTATATATAAAGAAATAAAAATCCGGTGGTGAAGATTATACGGTAGACCTTAACAAAACAGACGACAATTGACTGGGAACTGGACGTTAATTCCAAATATCACGGTCAGGAAAGTGTGAAAAATTTATTTTTTTGGCTTCAGACGTAGAGCCACCAATAGGAGCTTTATAACTCTTGCCTTGCCTTATCCCACCAATTTTCCTAGTTCCTTTCCAACACTTGTTAGGATTGATATAGGTGGAGGGTGCTATATGTCTCATAGTACTGTAATCGAGGAACAACACCCCTATATACTGTACAAGCGATTATATCCTTGCACGTACACATGCATGTTTGCGTGTAAAACGTTATTTAATTGCTGGTTTTCACAGAAAAGGGCGGCAAGGTTTTGAAAGTGGGTAAGAAAGTACAAAAGGAATGAATGACGATATACAAATGCTATTATTGACTGTAAAGGCTAGTTTCCACTCAGGAAAAATCTCCTTTGGATCGGAACGGACAGGAAAATTTCCTTTATCGGTGAGTTCTTAGGCGGCGTTTATGCAAAGGAAACTTTCCTGTCCTGTCCGATCCAAAGGAGATTTTTCCTTGTCTTTCCCTAATGCATTTAAAACTCTGGGATTAGCAGAGGCCAGATCAGTATACTTTATGACACGCTAATCGCTCGACTTATACTTGAAGCCGACAGCTGAATTAGGAAGAAAGTATTTTAACTTCTTGTAAGCCTACATTTTATTATTCCAATTAAACAATCTCTAAGATTCACATTTCACACACCTACAAATAAAATTATCTATGTAGGAGAAATGTAAAAGCCTCCGGAATCTATAGCTATATACCTACCTATGGAAATAAAATAATTTGTTTGCCATGCGAAAAAAAAGATAAAAGAACATGTATTTAAAAGAGGGGGCTAAACGACTACAAATTATACAGTCACCTACGTCACCTATAGGTAATTAAGAGGGTCACCATCGACACATTGAGAATGAACTAAAAACAAAATCTACGACGGAAAAATATATACAACGCGTGCCGTTAATATTCTGCTTACATGAGGTACTCCAGCACAAGAAGACAAAATAACTTTACCTTTAACTCTAATCTTAAGATCAATGATTTGAGTTTCAAGATGTCGGAGGCTAAATCTTTCTAATTTCTTTCTCAGTAAATCCGTTTCGTTCTCCTCAATCTGAGGTTCACTCACGAACTCCAGCTCCAGTAGAACCTGCGTCGTCTCCTCTTCGGAGATTTCTGTGCTCTCGAGTTCCTCTGGCTTAATTATTTTTACATCAATGGGCTCCGAATTCAGTCCATCGTCTTTTAGAATACACCCGGAGTCGCGTTTCTTATCATCCTCGGATCTACAGCCATTATAGTCCTCAATGATGTATTGCTTAATCTCTGCTTCCTCGTGATGTGATTCCCCTTCATCGGATAACGCGTTATCATCTTCGAAACACAATTGTAAATAATCCGGTCCGATCGATAGCCTGTTAATAACCTTAGGATCAGGTGAGTATTGCGAGTCCGTGGTTTGTATACCACTTGAATTCAAGCGATGGTCGATCGACTCCCAGTCCGTACTAGGCGGGGGGAGTTCTTTGTTTAAATCTGCAGTCTCTGAGTTTTCTGAAAAGCTTCTGCTTAAGTAACTACGATCTCGTTCGGGCTTATGCTCGGATTCGGAATAGCTCGATCCATGGTTGTCTTCAGATTCTCCATCCGAACTGCCTTTTTCATGTTCTCCATATTCGGAATGGTTTTGAAACATATCTTCCTCGTAAAAATCATCTTCAAATGGTGACACGGCAAACGAATCGAACATTCCATTGTAACCATTTTTTAGTGTTCCTTTACCACGGTCGTTTTTTAAACTAGCAAGTTTATTGTGCATTCTTTCTGAATACTCTCTCCAAACTCTTTGAATTCTAACAGAAAAAACAATATCGATTTGAATTCGTGGCCTAAAGACGACAGTTAACAGTTCAAAAAGGTTGCTAAAAAAGAAGGTAATGGCCCTTTTCAGCAAATCGTAGACAGTAAGGGTCCAGAACGGGGGAGTGGCAGAGATGTAATTTACAAAACCGAGACAATAGTCGTATAAACAAAATCACTTTTGGTACAATTTGATGTGAAAGAAAATAAGACCCAGACTTTTAGGATATATGTTTAAGGACTCTCCATTTCTGGAATTGATTTTTTTTAATTGAAAGATATCACAGCCTGAATCAATGTGTTCACATACGTCACGGCGCCCCAGTTTTCTCGTCTTCGTCTGTTCCTTCTTAGACAGTCGTTCTCGTCCATCTCTTGTTTTAAATGATAACTAAAGATATGGATGGAAAATATTCCTTTAACTATTTGCATTCTATACATAATAACCAGACAATTCTACAAACAGAAGTCGGTTTGAAAACAGGCAAAAAACCGGGTACATGTTGCTAAATGTAACACAAATTCATGCATGCGTACGTTTCCTTTTATATCATGTGATTATTTGTTTTGAGTTTCCATATGAATTATCGTTTATTTGAAAATTGTTTACGGAATAAAAAAGCATTACCCTCACTCGTGAGCAAATGCTCTCTGCAACAATCAATTGAGACCGTTTGCACATGACGTCACGGTAAGTATCAGGGGCCGGTTGTACGAAAGCCGGATAGCGCTATCCACCGTACGAAAGCCGGATAGCGCTATCCACCGGATAGTGATTTTTTGACCGTTCTAAAATCGCCCGTTGTTTGCTGTAAGTTTGATTAAATCTTATTATTCCTAAATCGAGGATCCTCTTTAATAATTGTTGCTTCCAAAGATGAAATTTTATCGCATTTTTAGAACTGTTAATATCCAGCCTTCGTACAACCTGCCCCTGGTCCTGGAGGACAAACGTAAAGGTAGCATACATTTAGCAAATAACGTACCGGTAGATGAATCATAATAGAGAAATATTTGAACAAACTTCTTTCTTAATTATTTTTGTCAGCAATATGAACCTTTACTGCTCGCAAAAGAATCATTTTTGGTAAGACAAGGAAGAATCTGGACAGTTTGGGGAAAACCGTCCAGATTGATGTATATTTGAAAAGAAAAACCTAGTGTGGTACAAAAGCGTAAAACACCAACATGGCCGCTTCGACGTCATGTGAAAACCATGTATACTTGTAAAATGGTATTCACATGTAAATTACTGATTTTCGCGCAACGATGTAATATTCTGTGTAGGACTAGTACTCGACAAACTCAATGAGGCAATTACTTGTCAACAATTATTTGTCCTTCTTCTACTTGTTGTCTGATCTTCTCATTTCTCTCTGCTTCCTCCTAGAGAGGGAAAAAGAAAAGATTAAAATAACTTATCAAGATAACATAACTAAACTATATATACTGATACACCAACGTTTCTCTGCAGAGCAAATTAACTAAAATCAAAAAAATGTTGCAAACGACTTTGAAAAGCTCCATAATGAAGATCAATCCTCGCTTAACTTGATCATACGTATTTCCCTTTACTTTGTGTACGCTGTATACAGCCATTCTTTTTCTGTTAACGTTCTTTGCATGTGCTCAGACTGGTGCAACACCCCCCCCCCATTTGTCTTTGACAAGAAAGCTTTCTTTTGCAAGAAAAGTTAGGCATCATTGTTAATGAATGAAGTCTATTATGACCTGACAAAACCTGATGTAGATGAGGAGATGTTGTGTTTAGTGTTTCAGTTTTGTGTTTCATATAAATTAATTGAAAAAAAACCAGTATCAGTACACTCAGCTGGACTAATCAGTAAGTTACAATGTATACACACTAGTATCTACCTTTTCAAATTGCTCATAGAGCAGTTGAAGATACTTTTTCCTTCCAAAATATCCTCTCACATGACGTTGTATGCACACAGCAGCTGCTTCATCTTTTTTTACAGGTTCCTTTTAGAAAGAAATCTCTATTTATGGTCTATCAACATTTTTTAAAATCATCTTAGGAACTAGATATGTTGTAAAGAGTGTTTTTTACGCACTGTTTGTTGTTAAATCATAGGTAGCCAATCATAGGCATCACTTAAGTTAGTATTAAAGGGTTAGATTATAAATAACCCTCACTTCAAAAAAATTCCTCATGCCATCAATACCTTTACCTTAATCTATTTACTAAACTGAAAGGCTGTATGCAATGTATTCAAAACCTGCTGATTAAGAGTTATAAATCCTCCCATTGGTGGACTTTAGGGCAATATTGACTACTTTCTGACTATGTTTTTCAGTCCAGTACTCATGACATCTTTAAATAAATACATTTCCTATATTCTGTTATCTGATACATTTCCTATACTCTATTACAAAACTGTAATTTATACTTTTGAAGAAATCTGCACCATGCACAAAACGTTTTCTACAAATGCAAATAATATATTGTTCATTACCTTTCCCATAACATGATTAGCAACCGAGAGATTGATACCCTGAAAATAAAAACCTGGTTTAAATTTATTTGCAATGGTACATTATCAGTTAATTCATAGATTTTTGAAACAGTTTTCATCTTTCACCATACATTGCATGCATTTCTATATTCACTGATTAGAATGCCCCAGAAAAGTCCAATAGACTAATTAACATTCTCCCTTTGAGAATGAGGCTCCTGTCCAAGAAAATGTAAAAAAAGGCTCCTGTCTGAGAAAAAGTATATATATAGTATACACAGGTTAAGTGGGTCACATTGCATTGTCATCTACATACAAACATCTGTAATGTAAGAACAACTTGATTCGCAGGAAATTGGAATTTGTAGAGATAATATGGGGTACATTTATTTGGGTGTATGACTTTCTGAAGACATTGCATCAAGAAATGGTATACTAAGATATCCTGCAAGGACTCAATCAAGTGTTTTTCTCCTATAATTTAAGCATATGTTTATACTGAAAGATATAGAGTACAACAATGGTAGCCCTTGAGATGGTCAGATTATTTTTTAAAAACCTATATCTGACAAGAAATGTTCAAAATATCCTAATAAGGTCATAAGGCATTTGTATCTGTTTTCAACACATTTCACATTTGCTTTGTTTTTTATTTAACAAATATTTAACTGCACAGGATTATATATCTAGCAACTGACACCGAAATTCAAATTTCATAATTCTATGAGCACTTACTTCAGAAATGCTAGTGAAATCAGGGTCTTTCAATCAGACAAATTAATTACACATTACCTTATTTAGGAACACATCATAATATACTCAAAATAAGTGTTCCTGGTTCATGTTATACTGAATAGTTTTATAAAGCAAAATTGGCATATACATACTGTAGTTCAGGTGAGTGCTTGCCTCAATACATGCATCTACACATACTTTTCAGTTCTTTATTTTAACATATAAATACTTCCAAGATACTTCAAGGGTTTAAAAAACATGGAACACATATACAGTATGCTACTATATTGTGATATTAGGTTCTATTACTGCATTTCCTCCACCCACCTGTATTGACAATTGACATGCATGGACAGTGGGCACAAGTGGAAGCTGGTGGAAGGTATGTGTCCAAGGTAATACCATGAAACTATATATGATTGTATATGATGGTGTTGATTGAATATTTGAAGAAAAATTTGGGCCGAGACTGTTTTGGCAATAGAGTGATCAAACTTGCTAAGACAGAACAGTCATTGTCTAAGAATCTTGCCCCCTAATTACTTCAGTCAAACGTGCCCATGCAGATATGCTCAATCAGTTAAGAAGATATTTTAGGAGAAAACGTCAGTTCAGCGCTAAAAACAGCTGATACTTAGGTAAATAGCCACAGCACCGCGTCAGTGTGGTGAGAAATTAAGTATTTAAACATTAGAAGTTTTGAGATTTGAATGAATTGGAATACCTTCTTTAAGAGGTTTATTTATGACAAAAATTCAGATGCGTGTACTTATTCCATTCCATGATAATATATAAACATGGAATTGTGGCTATAAAAGCTAGGAAATAATGCTACAGATCTCAAAACAAATGTGTACGATTTCATGATACTGATATATCAGCAGCTATATTTAATATCAATATATTTTAGAAACAGCGTGTTTACTTAGGAACAAATCAATGCAATGTAACGATACGCGACCGATGGCAGTGATATGGGTTACGTATGGCAAAGCTACGGAGATATTGCTAGAAAGGCGATGCTAATGAGGAAACAAAACAAAGCCATTGAAACACTGTGATATAATATGAGAATCTGCAATTGCGACAATTATGCAAGAGGTTTTGAAATATGAACCGGAAAACGAAATACAACATACAGCATGTCAAATTTCACGACACGTTGGCAACAAAAGAAATCACTAAATAATGCTGCTTTATGAGCTTCTAAACACACACACAGCGTGAACTGGAAACATTTAAAATTGAGCTAAAGAAAGGGAACCTTCGGCGACGCTGTCAGCCACTACAATGTCAACATCATATCAATATATCAACATCCATCACTTAAAATATTAATAAACTATTCTCACTGTCATTTGCCCGCGCCCTTGTTCTAGACAAAATACATGTCTGACATACCTTCATCGCTGTTCTATCCCGTTTAATTCTCTCCTTTCGAAGTGCTCCCATATTAGGTTGCTCTAAAATGTGAATCTTCGCGTTGTTCAGCAAATCACTCAATTCATTATTCGATCGATCGTCCACATTTTCATCCACATTGTAAATCGAAACGCCGGCGCTATTCATCGGATCTCTCATCTTCTTAATTCATGTCTCCACTCCTATTAGATTTATCGTCTTTGTAAAATACCTTGTTTTCCCTTTTCAACTGTTCGTAGGCAGAATTTTGATAACTCTATCGGGGTTTTACACATCCACAAATTTCTCTCGCCGTGAACTATCAGTTGCTAGACAGACTATTAAATACGTCTGTTTTGCCAGTCATAATTTGTGTCGCTGTGCGACATCGCACGCAAGCATCCTGTATGGATCTCGAACACTGATCTTAAGAAATCGAATAAGCTTCAAATCCCCTACAAAGCGGTATAGCTTAGCCCACACTTTGGGTTCTTGTTCATGAATCTTTTACATCATGCTTCGTAGCACACGTTCTCGGCTTTCAGTAATAATTTTAGTCATTTTACTTCAAACATTTGGACCGGAAATACGTCAGAGCTGTGAAGAGCACGGCACTGAGCCACCGGGCCATGGGTCATGGAACCAGCCTAAAATTAGGGTGAAATCACTGGATGAAATACGATCTGAGTTATCTAGCCTACAATCGGGTTTTTACCAAGCTTGTGCACTGGCTTGTACCAGCAGTGACTTGTACAGCGTAGTAGCCACAGGAAATCGAAGAAAAGAACGGGCAGTAGAGACGGGAAATCGAAGAAAAGAACGGGCAACGCTAAAATAGGCAACGAGAAAAGCTGATAAGGAAATTTTATTCATTTTCTTACAAGAATGCTTTCATGAAAAATATCAATGTTACAACGATTTTGATTTTTGACCATAACTAACATGCAAGTACTTGAGGAGCTTCTGATGGTGGTGTTGGTGGAGGTTGCGACCCCTCTTTCACATCAGTCTTTCCACGTCTGAAGATGGACACGCTCAATGCAAACAGTTCACTATCCACAGGTTCAACTGCGTTGTTTTCCATCAATAGTTTTTTCCCAAGCTAATGGAGAAACATAATGTTCACAATATAAAAAATCCCTACCTTCAGACAATAAGAAAATAATAAATAAAATAAATAAGAAAACTAAACTCCGCTATATTGACATCAATCATATCAAGTGTTTTTAACAGAGACAAAAAACCTGCTATTTTGCTACAAAGATTTATTACATTCCTGCTACATGAAAAAGTTGATTTGAGGAAACAATGAGAGGCCAATAAATAGAAAAAGCAGACGAGATCTCCAGAGACCAATTTCCATTCAGAAAATTTTCATTCTTTCCTGCGAAATGTAGACATGTTTTTCAAGAGATCCCACGGTCCATTTGTCGCCTCTCAAGGCAAAACCCAGGTTAAGTTATCAACAAGCAGTTCTAGAAAACGCCTACACATACCTTTGTCGTGGTGAGTCTACGAAGCTGCTTTCGAATGTGAAAGTCTCTGCGAGCACACAGAGCTCGACGACATGGTCCTATGTCGTTGACAACATTCTCTCGTTCCTTCATCTTTCTTGCTTCAGCAGCGACCAATGCGCCAATTGTCAGTTTCTTTTGGTCAGGGACAAGAAGTAAGTCTTTCATTGCTCTATCAGGAGCATCCTGCGAGCATTTCTCTTGAACTCTTTTGGTGAGCGAAGCTCCGGCCAGAGCCGAGGATATGCCGATGCGGGAGAATATATTTCCAGCCGAAAAACGCTTGATGTAGTCCCCAGGCTCCGACACTACACCAGAGAAAAACAAAAAAAAACAGAAGGTTGTGTGAAACTAAGGTAAAAATTTTCAACGCAAAAACTGCGGTGAAGGAAAAAGTTATCTTGAAAGGGATTTGACTTTGCATGTTCCGCGAACCCTATGACAGCAATGGAGATTAGGATGGTGACGATTGATAAGCGAAAAGGCCTGAGTAATTTTTTTCCTCATAAATCGTAGGTGAGATAAGCCAGAAGTATGTGGTATGATGTTATTATTAGCATCATGTTAAACTACATGCCCTCACTTGCTATCACTTAGATCAGAAAATAATTTTATTCCATTTCTAAATAAGAAAACGAAAAGGGCGTAGAACCAGAGCTTAACTCTGGACCTAACCAACACTTGATAAACCCAATCCAAATGTAAATGTCACTGGCAATTTTGGGGCACTGTAAACAGGTCCATAAATTGGCTGCGGAGACAATTTTTTCAGGTTTCATACCATTTTCTGTCTTCTTCTCCAATACGCTCCAGTCGACGTCCTCGATATCAAGAGTCTGTGTCGTTTCTTTCACTCTACTTTCTTGCTTTTCATCAGCAATAATGGCTTCTAACTCGTCATCACTGATGGGATCATAAACATCCTCAAACGAGCCATCATGATCAACAGTATTGTCATCATTGTTCTTTGAAACATTACTTTTTACTTGTTTTTCCTCAGCGTTTGAAGCGCCATCTGGTTTGTCTTTTTCACCACCCTCGCTTCCATCACTCCAGTCACTGAACTCCTAGATATACAAAAAGATCAATACTTATATATAGTACGATCAATGCACCTCGTTGACACTTTGCCAGACGAAACCTCGTTAGCATCTTGCCGGAATTGCGGGCTGCCAGCCACCGAAGAAAAGACGCGGAAATCGAAACAATGATTACATCCGAGCAAGGCTTGACAAATTGTGATAAATAATAAATTTAATACAAATCGGCATGGAATAAATGTTAATTGTGTTTAGTTGTTCACAGGTCGTATAAAAAGACAGGGAAACGTAAAGTAAAGTGAATATTAATAGATATATTGTTTCCATGGCAAATGATTGAGTGTGTTCTAAATAGTGGATTGAAATTCCTAAATAGGAAGTTTTAGGGTTGATGGCTGTGGAAGGCATCGAAGAACAAGGCAAGAAAATATTTCGCTACATCTGGTATTAGTGATGGCAGGTTATTACCATTATAACCTTCTTCGCTAACCTGGCTAGCTATACATAGGGCGTTGGTACAAAAAGATGTTGTCGGGTACCACCAAATATTACAGAAGTAATCGATAATTTTACGCAACAAAATTTGCAGGTGAAAATATTTTCGTGGGAGTGAAACTACCAAGTGGAAGTGTGCCCACATTAGGAAGGGTGACTTCCTGAGAGGTACCCGCAAAAATGAATTCAGTTTACCTGTTCGCCAGGTTTTTTCTCGGTTTTCGTTTCTTCAGTGAGCACTGCTTCACTTTCCTTGGTACTATCAACCTCACTGCGGCGTTCTTTGGCATCACCATCTACATCTGAACCAGATTTCCTCGTTGCTTCCAATTGTTCTTTGTTTTTCGATTTCCTTACATCTTTGTCTTTCGAAGTTTCCCGCGTACGCCTTCCGTCCGGTGTACCAGCGGAAGCTTTGGTAGTGCCAGTCTCTTCATCCGACGAATCGCGTCTCTTTGTCTTTTTATCTTTGTCTTTTCGCGACTTTTTAGCGTCTTTATCGTCCATCTTCAAAATTGCCTCTTTTTTCTCAACATCGTCAATCGGTTTTGCTGCAGCGTCCTGGTTTGATGGCTCAGGGGTAGAAACCTTTTTACGCTTCACCGAGTCAGACCGTTGTGGAGGGCCAGGTGATACTTTTGGCCGTTTTCTAAAATTTGTAACCGGATAAAAGTTGTCAGGAACGTGGTGCATACAGAGAACTCTATATTGTTGGGTGCATAGCGCTATTAAGAAGACAAAATAAAATGTAGAAAATTACCTCGAGGACGTCTGCTGCTCCTTAACTTCAGAAGCAGGACTATGACCCTCCTCATAATCCCACTCTTCTGATTCTGGAGGTGTTCCAGAGCCACGTTTCCGCTCCTTGCGGTGACCTACCGTACACAGAAAGCCACATTTTGAGCGGATTATTAGGCAGTTAGTAACTAATAACTAGTCTCAGGTAAAGACATGCTAACTAGGAATGCTGAGAGACATAACTAATGAGACAAGAACAGCAATTCTTAAGTTGAATGTGGCAACATAGATTCGAGTGGTAGCTGCTCTGATTACAGAGAGTCGATTTCGAGTTAACTAGTTCTTCACTGTGTGTTGATTGTGTGATGCAAAAGCAATTTTTTATCAATGCCTCACTCCCGTGCTGTATATAAATGTTGAAACATTATAGGTTAACCACCACTCAAATCACATTGATTTAGATGTTTAGTGAAACCTACGAAATTAGCTTCAATGCATGTATTTTAACAGAGGAAAATCTCACATAACTCGCAGTCTTTTACACAGGGCAGAAAGTAAATCCATCTTGTGGGAGAAGGGAATTTCGTTTGAAAAGGGCTTGTTTTAAATGGAGGGGGGAAATTTAGAGGAAACAGCTAGGCAGATTAAATCTCATCAGATAAGCTGGTCTGCACGCATTTCGAGAGAAAGCGATTCCAAAAAATCGATCGTGCTACATATTACACTTAATGAAAATCGCCCCTACTCAAATAACACAAAATAGGTATGAACTGACCTTTCCTATCTCCATGAGATTGTTCGGCCTCAGCACGGGAACGTTTACCTCTGGATGTCTTCCCGTCATCCTGATATCGCTCACGTCCTTCGTGGTATCTCTCAGACTCTCTATACCCACGTTCTCCCCTGCGTTCATGCCACCCCGGGTCAGGACGATCTTCCATTTCTCTGAAACGTCCGCCTGGAGATAGAATACATTGTACGCTTTGTTATTATTACTGCTGATAATATACATGTGTCACACCTTTAACCCGTCAATCCACCGAAAGTCCTTCTGACGTGTGAGAATTGTTAGGTAAGAATGCATATCTGAGTTCACACAAAAGATGGCGGTAATTTTTGAAGAGTAATGCACATAGTCTCGCAAGAAAAGTACGTATAGAAAGATGATGCGATTGCAAAAGTTGACCGAAGTATGCAACAAGACACAAAAATGCACCCTTGCGGTAAGCCGACGTGGAATTCTCAGAAATGTTGTTTATACGTTTCCGCCAATAAAAAGCCAGGATATTGATGAAGTATGAGCTACAGCTGAGTTCGTATTAACCATGGCTTCCACAAGTGATTGGCATATAGCTGTCTTTATATGGAGATGAATAGGCAACAACAGACAGAAACCAAAAAACGTTTAAAATGTACAATATTTATAAGCTCTAATTTAACTGGCATCAATAATATGGACATGCAACGCCACTTACTCGCCATTTTCACGTCGTATTTGACGTTCACGTCCTCGTGCTAAATCTCCCTATTATTTATATATGACAGCCGCTTTCTTGGAATTTTGTTGGAAACAGTTGGCTGCTTGACTCCATTCATTTGCAGAAAGCTACTAGTGTCTTTTTATAATCTTGCACATTCGGAACACGGCTAACTAGAAGTTATTCTTCATTTTATTATATAGCTGAACAAATCGTTGATCATATTTTAAATTAATGTAATTGTCATTGGAAGGCCGAAGTGTCTTTGTCCAACATAAAAGAGTTGAAACATAAGTACCTAAAGCACAATCTTACCTCTATCAGGGTGTGGTCTATCCCGATCGTAGTGTCGATTAAACTCGCCATGTCCAACTCTGCCCTCTCCACGGCGCTCGTTATATTCTCTAGCATCATATCCATCGTATCCGTCGCGTCCTCGCATATCGCGGGTCCAAGCGCCACGAAAGTCAGGAGGACCATCTCTGTAATCGTGTCGCGCGTCAAACGGATGGCGACGATCTCTAGTTAAGTTGTAAAAATCGAAATGTAATTTTCCAATCATTTGCATCTTTGGAATGGTCATGCATGAAATTGGTACAGTGGATTTGATCGCGGCACATGCATTTAGAGCTGAAGTATGGTGCACAGTTTCTAACTTAAATTTCTTTGAATGGATGAGAATCGCAATGCATGAAATGTTATTTAAACCGTACAGTTAAAAAAATGACGGATTGGAATCAAACGAATGACCTGTAACTTAGTCAACTGAGATTGCTGGGCCGTCTATTCAATGCCATGCAGGGGAATCTAAAACCATTCTCACAGCAGAACCTCGAGATAAAATGAGATTTTTTTCGGGCCTTCCATCCAATATATTGCAACTTATAGATACCTACCGTTCTTCAAACTCACGAAATCGTTCCCTTTCGCGAGGATCTCTGTAATCCACTCTTTGAAACTCGCGATAATCTCTCGAGTCTCTATGATCCCGGGAGTCCCGGGGGTCCCTCGTATCCTTCGACCCCCTGCCTTCCATGCATCGATCAACCCCTTCATCACGCGTTCGCCTGTGATCTCTCGCGTGCTCACGGTAATATTTTTCTTCCTCACGGCGATCGTAGTCCGAGGCACGTTCTTTGCGCTCGTCAGAATGGTGTTCTCTTCCTTCGGGCACATTTTTTGAATCCTCGTTCGTCCGTTCCGAGGTCTCGTCCGCGTGTTCAGAATGATCGCGCGATGCCGTGGATTTCTTGTCCTTGCGCTGATCTCGCTTCGGTTCTTTTGCAGGAACTTCTTTTTTCTTTTCCGCCTCTCGTTCAACCGGTTGTCTGCGCACCTTACCGCGAACTTCTTTCTCCTCGGTCGACCCACTTTCCATTTCCTCGCTCTCCGACTCGTCGGAGCTGCTCGAACTGTCGCTGTCGCTCGACTCCGACACGTCTTCGGGCGCCTGTTGTTTCGCAACGGGTCTACTCTTTTTGGCAAGTTTTATTTCTTTCTGTACGACAGTTTGCGATTCTCTCTGCCGCGAGTCATTCTTCTCTCTCCTTTGAGAGACAGCGGTGGATGTATCCATAATATACGATGCTTCCATATCTAAAGACAGGGGAAGCTGCTGCTTGAATTCTGGCGATGGTGTACGCGGACCTTTCCTCTTTTTCTCTTCTTGTCCCGGTTTAGTTTTCTGCGACTTAACATACTCTTGCGGTACTGGAGGATCAGGAGCCTCTCTTTGTCTCTCCGCTTTCTTCGCCTTCTGTTTTACATCCTTTTGAATACCTTCCACGGCTTTAGACCTCGATTTTCGTTCTTCTCTTACCGATTCTTTGTGTTCAACCACTTGCACCTTCTCTCGTGAAGGACTGCGCTGAGGAGCTGATTTCTTTTTAACTCTATCAATTTTATTTTCAGGAACTCTTTCAGTTGCCTTTCCGGTCCTTTGCTTCTCGCGAGTTTGCTGCCCTTTGTGCGGAACATAGTCTTCACCGCGAGGTTGATCGACCTGCTGTTGTTGACGGCTTCGCTTTTCCACGACGGGTGAACGGGTTTCCTGATGCGATGAGCGAGCATCCCTCTCGAATGACGGTGAACTGCTTCTTGCATCGAAAGGAGGCGAACGCGGAACTCTTTCGTTGTATGGCGGTCTGGTTTCTTTTTCCGAGTGAGTCGAGCGAGTCTCCCTCGCAAATGGCTGCTGTCGAGATGGTGCTTGCCTGGATTCCCTTTCAAACTGGGTCGTTCGAGGTTCTCTCTCGAATGATGGTGGCCCCGATTCCCGTTCAAATTGGGATTGGCGCGATGCTTTCTCATAGTGTCGTGATTCTCTTTCACCGTGAACTTGGCCAGATTCCCTTTCGTGTTGTGTCTTACGTGATTCCCTCTCCAAGTGTTGTGATTCCCTTTCGAACTGACGCGATTCTTTCTCAAGCTGAGCTTGGTGTTCTCGCTCCATCTGGCGTGTCTCCCTCTCGAACTGTCGCTCTTCTCTTTCCAGCTGTCGCGTTTCCCTGTCCATCTGACGCGACTCCCGTTCGTACTTTGGTCCACGAGATTCCACGGAGCGGTGCTCTCTTTCGTACGTCGCAGGACGTGCTTCGCCCAGTATATGAGGCGAACGATTTCTCTTATCAACGTGATGGATCTCCGGTTCGAACTGTACAAGGGCAATGTTCTTTTCACGCTTCGATTCGTGGCTATGTCTAGTTCTGCTGTCGTGCTCTGCTGGTGAATGAAAACCATCCCCTTTTCGTTTCGTTTCGTGGTACTCGCGCTGAAACACGTCGCTTTCGTATTCTTCTTTCCTAAACGGAACTTCTGCCTCTTCATGATCGGAATCATTGCTGTGTTTTTTCTTCTTTTTCCCACCCGATGATTTATTTGCTTTCTTCGATTTCTCTCCAAAATCACCATCACCAACATGGAAGGCCTCCATGCGATGGGCATCGCCCTTGTGGGATTTCTTCTTCATTTTTTTCTTCGACTTGTCGGATTTGCTTTTCTTTTTCTTTTCCGGTTTAACATTCTCCTCTTGATACGGCGGCGACGAGTCCCCTGCGAGAGGGACATTAGGCATCCTCACCAACGGTTCATCGTGCTGGTCAATCTTTGCAATCTGCCGGCGCAGATCGTTGCGGCGTTCTTCCAAAGCCACTTCACGGGCATGATGCATGGCCCCTCTCACTTCCCAATCAAGCTGTTTCCCCTCATTCCCATCCTCGCTGTCGCTGTTATCTTGCAGGTTCCATCCGCTGGTGGATGTCGATCTTTTGTGGACAACGTCTTGCCTTTTTTCAGCGACTTTCGGCTCTTCTGGTGCCCTTCGATGCTCCTTCACCAACTTTGAATCTAAATACATAAAAATCAAATACACGCCTAATTGATACATCCCATACTGCAATTTGGTTGACCACGAGGAGGAGCATGACAAGTTCTTATAGATCTATAATATGCCTTTACTGTTATGTACAGTAGGCCAGAAAATCCAGTTCAATCTGAAGTACAAAATAAGATCACAATAAAATAGAAAGTGAAATCTAATAGTTTATAAATAATTCTATTTTCCCACAGGTTTCATGATGTTATGTTTATATATTTCTCTTTGAAAAACCATCCATATATTTAGTTTCATATAAATATTGTGAAGCGGAATAAGAAATTATCATTAAATTGTTAAATAATTTGAATACTGTAAAGTTACATTGTGTACCTTCTCGTAGAGATTCTTTTGTGACTTTAATACTTTCAGCCTTCATTCGCTTTGTGGGTTTCTTCGAGGTATGGTCAGATGAATCCGCATCCGGACTGTGAACTCGTTTCACTCGCACTACAAAAATACACATATACAGGAATACTTACATTACGGTGCAGAGTTACTTCATAGCTAAGGAAGAAGGCCTCAATTTGGCTTTAAACAGTTCATTTTTATGCGAGTGACGGCATAATCTATTAGGGTAAATCATTTCATCACAAACAAAATCAGCTGAACTTCACGAAATTTTTTAGTCGCTATTGGATGATTGGATTTAGTCGCTTCGTTGTACAGAAAGTATGTGCTATACTTTTAAGGAATATGGAATTGTATCACTATAAAGCTCTTTCCAATTAACATCTTTGCTCTCACCTGGTTCATCGTTTTTGCTGTTGAAGAAAAAAAAGAGAAATGTCTTTTAGGATATATTGAAAACACTAGACGACATGGCCGGGAGTGAGATTGAATGAGGTTGAACATGATATGAAGAATAAACATGCCGAAGTTTGGTGAATTCTTTTCAACAATTATTAATTGCATGTAGAAAAAAATAATGAACAGTTCAACAACAAGACGCGAATTTTTGTAGTTGACTGTACATGAAGTGTCTACTTTGAATTTAGAGTTGTGTTTGATTTTCATCGTCGTGAAAACAATTAATTCTGAGTGGAAATGTACCTGACAATGCTACGAATTATCTTTAGTTTCGACTTTCCTTCAGACGTCGAACCGTGATCGTATCGACATTTGCTTCCGAAAGGGCAGCGTCCATCTTTCAACCAATAACGACATTTTTCCACGGGATCACTGTAGTCCTCTCTTCTAGACTGGGATCTCTATATATAGAGGCAAAACGGATTATGCAATAAAACAGCACGCATGCGCCGAATTACGCATAAAAACAATGCGGCATCTCAGCTTAATAAAGAAGTCGTGGGTGCCTTGTTCGGTAAGAAGGGTAAGAGGTATGGTATATACTGTAGGTTAGATAGCTTTCTACTAGAAACTGTGGACCTGGACACATTGCAAAAAAAAAGTATGCGTTGACATGGCTTTGAATTGCGGATATATTTGCTTTGCTATAAAATCTGTTTAGGATAGAGTAATCACTGGAAATTCAGAACTAGCTCCCAAAAACTGGTTGACTGACAACTCGGTACTCTTTTCGGGGAGACCCTTTACAGAGATGGAATTAAAATTTAAAAAACCCAATAAGTTTTCAATACAAGTATAACCTAATCAAAAAAGGCTGTCAAACAAAAACCTTAAACCTTAACTATATCAAGCGGGCAATGCCTTGGCTATAACTTGCCGATATTGCATGCCGTTTTTGAACATCGCTGGTTCACATTTGTGCATGTCTGTCTTGCTCTTAATTAAAATACTACAGAATATGTTATCCAGCTAGCTATTTCTCCCCCCTGCATTTGCCCTACGAGTTTAATTTCACTATACTACATTTTGAGAAAACGAAAATTCACGATTCTGATTGGCTAATTCTGCCACTAATCATAGTTAAGCGCTATCTTTTTTCCAACGGACCCTGATTGGTACACTGAGTGTCAACACTTTAACAAACGGTGACAGCTCAAGATGTTGGACGGTATTATTTAAAAGGCAGATACGCAGTTATATACACTAGTACAAGAAAGTGTTGTGGTTTCGCGCAGACCAGGAAAGGCTACGTCTAAATTCTAATTTAAAATCCTCAGGTCAGAAACGAACATATATGCCCTACTTGAAAACCAGAATGTTGAATGAATCCTTATGAATTTACATATTTTTATGCAAATTAAATTGGGTGTATATTTTACATCACATGATTAAGGCCACTCAAAGTTGCGTGGTTTACTCTACTTGGAAATAAGAAGCACGTGAAAGCCCTCTTTAAAGGTAGTTTAGAGTTCGCTTTGTTTAAATTTTAATCCGCATATTTCCAAAGATATCAAGAGCTTTCAGAATATTTGCGAATCAAGAACGCTTTTAGTTCGCCATACTTTTAAATGAATATGAGACAGAGTTGATGTTCAGAGATATGCGAAACAAGTAGACTATGAAATTTTGAAACAAGTAGACTACTCATTGCTATGAGCAGAACCGATGCGCCTTTGTCCGATGCCCCCTTTAAGTTTATGTTTGCTGAATTGCTGTTTTCGTATGTCACCGGCAGACGGCGATGGCTATTTTCGGTGATCATTGACGTATAAAGTGCTTTGTACATGTTACTTTGAATATATTTTAGGCCTAAATTAGGCATTAAAAAAGGGAGAATTGAAACGCCGACTGTCTATGACATAAAAACCACGCCTTTCGCCGACAAAACCACTTGAGTTATGTCTTCCTATTTGAAAAGCGGTACTAAAGCATCAACAATAGACTTGAGAAGGGCAAAATATTACAGCCCACGTGTGTGGTTCATTGAATGCGTGACTCAAGAAAGCTTTCATTTTCTTTTTCAAAATATACGCTAACTGGATCCTATGACATGCACCATGGATACGAAAATGACGAAATACGAAACGAAATCGATTGCTTACTTTAAATGGAGCAAGAAAAAACATCTCTGGAGTGAATTCCTTGAGAAATACGGAGTTCCTAACTTAGTTCGTGTAAAAGAAGGACAACACGGCGTGAATGACACGTGTATTATCGAAAATGATCAGCTTCTCATGTTACATGCGCTGGTGCCGAAGCACAGTTACACCGCAGAGGATTCCCTCGGTAGAACTATAGCGATCCCAGTCGAGTGCGAGAACAAGCTTCTAGTGTGTCCTATGACTGGTACATGCGATGCTATATTTGTCTCTGACATAACGGACGTTATCGGGAGCGCAAAATATTTCCGGGTTCTAGAGAATAAGAGAATCGAAGACAAAGAAATCGATTACTTCAAGCCGGAGTCCATCGTCGAAGTTGATTATATTGACGCAGGGAACTCCGTGGTTAAATTCAGAGATGTCGATGAGCCTGTACCGTTCAGCTGTCGCATTGAGTTTGAGGCGTTGTTGGACTATCGCGAGTATACGTTGAAAGATGCTGTGAGAGAGTTTGGCTTGCCAATTAAGGTACATGCAGACATGCAGGTTTATGCAGGTGCATATCTAGTGAACTGTAATAAGACCTGAATCGCTAACTCGGCCGTCATATTTGAAGTCAAGTTTGAAGGCAGTTTATTTTTCAGTTTTTCAACGTTTGAGACAGACGTAGTGAGTGATTATCTATAGGAATATTCGACTAGAACTATATGTAAAATACAATCATTTGCCAATTTTTACAAGAATTGAACGAGAAATATAGTGAGTGATTATCTAGGGATGTCTATAAAACTATATAAAATATAGTCATTCGCTAATTTTTATAAAAATCGGAAGAGAAAAGTCAAAAACTCAGTTTTTTGCTTCAACTTTTGGCTTCAACCAAATATAGCGCTGAAATAAAGGAGTTAGCGTCCCAGATTTTATTACAGTTTACTGGGGCTGCTTGTATAAAACTCTTTAAGTACATTTTGCATAGAATTATATACACACTTCAAATTAAACCTAGGATCAGAAAACGGTATACTCAACCATAGCATTTACCTGCATCGAGTGAAGTGCTAAAAATCATAGTCGATTTACATTTAGCATAGTTAAATCCTAGTTAATTCTACTTTCACTACAGGTAAAAGTTAACTACTCTTTTGTACAACTGGGCCCTGTTGCATATCTAGTTGCTATACGACTATTTTTTAACCGTTTTTCTGAAGTAATGTCCAGTGAAGAAAAACTATGTTAATTTTCTAGTGTATACAAGTGTATATACAATTTTCTAGTGTATGTATTTTCTAGCGGTGAGAACATGTCTTAACAGTCTTAGGACTAAATTAACTTTCAGTTTTCTACAGGATAACTCAAAAAATTCTATCCGACATCTCATACTGATCGAGCTCAGAAAAACCAAAACTCACGACTAAAAATAGACTGCAGTAGAAATTATTCATTGCTATTCATATCTAATATTTTCTATTTATAGTCACAAACGTGACAGTTTTGCGAACAACTTGTGAGTTTTACCATAGTAACATCATTAGATGACGTCCCAATTTCATAATTTTTCGCAATTCTGCGCTCAACTGGAAAACGCAGTATGAATTCATGACAAGCCCTGTCAGTTCTAAAGTGTTCTTCCTATATGCACGTTCGACCGTCAGTTTAAATTCCTGTATTTTGCATTTCAGGTTCGCTTTTTATTAAGTAGAAATGACAAGCAACGAGTGGATGACGAATGGTGCGAGTTTAAGGTCTCTAGTCTTGGAAAGGTGACAATTTCTTACATTTCAAAACCTGACCTTGTAGTGGCTGCAACAGAGATAGATGATGATCAATCATTAACTCTGCCCCGAAAGACTGTGAAATGCTTGCAAATATCCAGATATTACAACTTACAGGTTTCGGTGGTTAAAAGACTTCATAAGAACGATTCTGCTTCTCTAAAGATTATTCACGATTTCAACAGTGCATTTCTCGAAAAATACGATCTTAAGGAATTGAATAGCCCGGAGAAATTCCAGTATCTTGTGACACAAGATGGGAATTTCAAGTCTCAAATAACAAGCGCCGTGTTGGAGGAAAAGGTTGTTGGAAAGAATGAAAAGGTTCCGAAACATGACAACAACGTTCAAATCCAACTAAGAAGGGAAAAGTCCGTTTTAAAAACACAACTGGCAATTCTTCGCAGATGTACACGACGCAGTAGAAATGACACCATGTGTATTGACCGATCTCCAGGCGAAGACATTGAATCCCAGACCGATGTGTATCAAGGAGCATATGCCTCTGGAAAACGACGTAACTACACCCACACGCTTCGCAGCGCAAGAAGGAAACACACTTACGAATTGCCGCCGAAAAATGACAGAGCATGCGAGAGCAATGGTTGCAGTAAATTATCAAATAACGACCACGAATTTAAATTCGTCGACAGCGATGCAACGTGTGAGAATCGTGCGACCATACGGTTACAAAGTCAAGCTAGCATCACTGTGCCCAATGATTCCGCGAACTCAAAGTCACGGGATCATGTGGATGTGCAGTCACGCGATTACGTGAATATGTCTTCACAGGATAACTTTGATATGACGTCACGTGACTATGTTGATATGACTTCACGTGACTACGTTGATATGACGAAACGTGACTATGTTCATATTACGTCACGTGACTACGTTGATATGACTTCACGTGACTATGTTGATATGACTTTACGTGACTACGTTGATATTACGTCACGTGACTACGTTGATATGACGACACAGAAGTGTGTAGGGTTGTCTTTACAGAATGAAAAGGGCCAGGGTGATTATGTAAATTGTCCTTGTGTTCCGTTGCCCTCAGCTAGTCCACAACAAATAAACAGCGAGCAGTGCCAAAACATGATAAAAAATACTGTATTTGAACATGGAGCTCAAGCGTGCCCTGACATCAAGAAGTTGGACTCCAGGAGTAAACGCTCAGCTGAGGCGATCAGGCTTGAAATCCATAAAGAAAAGTTGACACCTTCTACAAAAGACACCATATTGCTGAAACCAAGCGTTGACGTCTCTACTGAGACTAAAGAGTTCGAAAATGGCAAGGAGATATCATCACATAAAAATATCAAGATTAAAGACTGTCCCAGCAATCAATCAAAAATGCTGATTCTACCTAAGGATCTCTTGAGCGTAAAACTGAAACATGTTGAACCCGCTGTAACTTTAGGATGCAAGCCAGATAATAATAATTTTGGGAAAACCAACAGTTTCAAGACAGTAACTAAATTCTCCCAAAATGTTAAAAAGCACACCAAAAAGGCTCCTGTACGCATACCTACGCATCTTACATTACTAAAATCTGGTGGGAAAACGGCTGAAGAAACTATGCATTTGTTGACAAAAACGGAAAACAAAATGATCTCAGTTGACAGTGACAAATTAAATAGTAAAATGATGGCTTCTGTTGGTGAATGTGATACAACTGAAGCTGGTTGGAAGAAATCCAACAACAATAAAACCTCAAATGCAACAGTTTGGTTACAAGTTCCCAGCAAAGTCCCAGTAAAGCTTCCAGTCCAAAATTGTCAGTTCTCCCGAAAGCCTAAAGTTCCCCCACCTGTTATCCCTAGGACTAAAACCAGAATAGCTAGGGTTGACAGTCAAGCAGTGAGTGATGCTGGCTCTTTACCATTAAACCTGAACAATGCTACATAAGTAAATTTCAAAGGAAACAAATTGACTGAATCTGGTATAATAGGCTATTAATTTGAGTTTCTTTGAGAAGCTTGTAAATGTGCAAAGTTATAATAATAAAGAACCTGCTAAAATTAAACAAAACTAATATGTATAGATGAGTGACAAAAAATGAAAAAAGTGTAATCTATAAGCTACATACAAAGTGTTTTAAACAGGTAGGTATCTATTTGTTTATTTCATATTTACTGTACTTATTGCTTTGTTGAGCTTAATATTTCATTTTGCAAAGACATTAGTTTCGACTACAAAAAACTTTAACACAACTGAACTTTATTAAAGGGGTTTTTAAAAGTGTAAACCTGAATTTTGATGAAACAATTTCCACTTTAAAGCTTTTACTGTTGATTGCAATCACTGCATAAATAATCGAAAAATAACATTCCACTTTCATTCCATAAAGATTTTGTATTGTTTTAATGTGTTGAAGGTGGACACATTTTAACAAAAAGTCTATAAATGGTCTGTTAATGAGACAGAAAAAAATGGTGATGTTTACTTGACTAGATTTGTTTCCAAATAATCATTTCATAATATAAGCTTAGATTTAGGTTTGGATAGCTCAGGAAATCCCACACCTATAAACTTTTGAGCGAATTTGGCAATAATCTTCACATAAAATGCACCTTGTTTATCCGGTGATTGACAATAGATTTAAACATGTGTTAAGGGAAAGTGCCCTTTGGGTTTGCCAATCATTATTTCAGACAATTGTCCCCGAGCCGGTGCAAAGCACCGGGCGAGGGTACTAATTCCGCCTGGAGATTTTAATTACGCCCGGGAAAGCAAATGCGAAATGAAAGTTGTCCGCCATTATGTCATGGACGTTGGGCGTTTTTGTAAGTTATGCGCATGTGTGAGTTAAAACTGGTAACTAGCAAGACGAGTTAAAACTGGTAACTAGCAAACGTTTAGAAACGTGCGATTGGCTAAATCAAAATTTGGGTCCCGTCAGTATAACTGATATTTTGAATTTTAAAACTTTTTTTTAAATAATATTTTTGATTTTGATGGTCTTAAAAATATACAGAAAAACTGACTCGTAAAATTGACTAAAATATAATGTAAAAGATGCCTTCGGATAGAAAAACATTCATTCAAATGGATGGTAAAATATCTATGATTTTGAAGCATTTTTAAAGTGTTTTTGAGCAGGTAAATGGGTAGATTTTGTATTTTAAAGCTTGCAAGTATTTTGCAAGTTTAATATGTGGATTTATCAACAAATGTATGACACCTCTTTGAATTTATTAGTCAATTTCGCTGAAATTTTAAAGGTGAATCTGTTTAAAAAGTAATGAAATTTCGCAAAAATTGTAGTATTTAAAACTATTCATAGCACAATTATGATTATAGTCAAATTTGATAGCTCGAGAGTCGACTTTATAATTGTACCAAGATATAGGATTTTACTTTACGGACTTTCAGCAGAAATCAAATGAGTATTATAGAATTTCAGAGATGGAAATATATGTTTATTGCTTCAGGCGAGGGGATTTTGCATGCATGTATTTCTAGTATTTTTAATAAATGGGATGGTCAGAATAGTTTGATAGTTCTCTTTCGTTCTCATGAGTCAACAATGGGTTGGGTGTTATTTTTTACGTCTGCAACATAGCGAATATCATAGCAAAGGCTGCGTTGCACTAAATATACAATCCGTACCATCTTTAACTTGGTTAACAGAATCAAAAGCACCATGAAATAATTGAAATTAGAACAGTGTATCGTGTAAATACCTCCACTGCACCTGGCCCCAGTCTGTCAAAAACACTCTTTCTTGGTAAAGTCGTATCTGTGATCTTCTTAGATCCTTCCACTGTCACCTTCCTTGTTAATCGGGAGCTAGACATCTTCAAATATCAAGCAATCAAAAATATAATCTCAGCAAACTCCGCTTACAAAGACGCCATGTTTTGCAATTCTGCCTGTTCGTTGGTCTTCGGGAATTCCTCCATTTTTCCCTAAAATTTCCCATCCTGTGCTGGGAAGCAACCTAAACGATTTAAAATAAACGTAAGCGGTAAGTTTCAATGTCAGTGACTTTATAATCCGCTTTACGTGATCGGTTTTCGTCCGAATGTCAGTATTTGTTCTATTTAAAAAAAAATGGTGATTTACAATTATCTTAATATTCAAGGTTGCCATTAAAAAAACCAAAATCATGTCGAACCTCAAAGAATTCCAACATTTACGGATAGATAATTGAAGTGATCAGAATATAATAAAAATTTAAAAAGCATACATCTAAAGGCTAAATTGCAAAATCACGTCACTTTCCGTAATCCGAATAGCCTACGAAGCTCCACCGAGAATCTGATTTTGGTTGAATTGAAAGATTTCTTCTTCACCCAACGTGGGAAAAAGGATGAGTTCCACACAAGAATCTGATGGAGATTTTCAATCTTGGTTTGGCAGTTCTAAATGGAAAACTGCATTGTATGTTGGGTTGCCACTGTTGGGTGTTGGCGTTGTATGTGTTTATTTATGGAAGAGGCGGTCGGTTGAAGATACAACACCTAGACCAAACGAAGACGTTGAAACCCCAGAACCAACACTGGTATGCCGTATGGATTCTTCTTTTAATTAGTAATAAAAGAACAGGTTTTTTAAAAAGTATTGCGATGCCCTTGTTATTTTCAAAAAATAATTGACTGTAAATATTCCAGCTTGCAAATGACAGGGTAATAACTGCCAGAAAAACTGAATGAATTATGCCACCACCTTCGTTTGTAGCCTCAGGCAAACAGGACAAAGGAAAGAATGTGTTATGTATGAGTGTGATTTGCTAATTTATTCATCTGAAGTAGCAACCTTGACAAGTTGGTGCTTTTTATGGTGGCTATATAGCGTACCAGGCAGAGAGCATGTCATTAATTGCATCAGATCATGGTGAGGGAGTCCTAGCCTTGTGGCCCCTATCTTGTTACAGAAGTGTTGTATAAGCACAATTTTGCAGAGTAGTGATAAAATTTTTTCCAACTAAGTTTCTGGATGCAAATCAGTACTCTTATTTTAGGGAAATAAGTTGAAAAATCTCAAATATGTCAGCTCACACCTATAGTTGCACACCTATAGTTGTAATCCCTAGAGACAGACCACATTATGTGTATTGTTATTTTAGCCTCCAATACATTGTACATCAGACTTCTTTTTATGTGTGGTACTTCTTTTTGTGGTCGGTAATACACAGTATGCCTTCTTACTTTGACACCAATATATAACCATGATCCATTTTTGTTTTCTAAGACTCCAAAAGAGGAGGCTCAAAAATCAAAGTTGAAGGGAAATGAACTATTCAAAGCAAAGAAATATGAAGAGGCCATTGAGTGTTACTCTTCAGCTATTAGTATTTGTCCTAAGGAGAACAAAGCAGATTTGGCAATATATTTCCAAAACAGGGCTGCTGCTCATGAACAATTGGTAAGTGCTAGGTAATGTATTAATATCCACCTTAAATCAATCTACATCTAATCGCTACTTCGAGTAGCTAAGTTTTTTGTGTGACAAGTAGTCCTATGGCTATGCTTTGGTGTGTATAAGATGCACTAAACCCCTGTAGTTTAGCTTCCATTAAATGAAGTGATTGAATAGACATATTTATAAGATTTATTTTAAACAATTCCACTTGCATTTGTTTTTAATATATAGAAAAACTATGATGATGTCATATCAGACTGTAAACAAGGTAATTGTGATAAAGAATGCCAGCCATCCATGGCTACTTATGGCAGCTATATTGTTATTTGGAAATATAAATTTATTTATGTAACCAAAATAAAATTGTGCATTTATTTACCAATCATTTGCAGCCTTGCAATACAATAAAAAATATACAAAAGCTTATTTAAGAAGAGCTAAAGCATACGAAATGTTGGACCAAAAACAGAACTGTTTGCAAGGTTTGTCAAAACGTTTTGCAACCTACATGCATATACACACTAATTTTTTCCCTGGATCGCACCAATGTATTTTTATTCTACAGTTATTATCCTCTTCTTTTGTCACTGTTGTTTTCTATCAGATTTGACGGCTGTCTCCATGATAGAAGGATTGCAAAATTCTTCATGGATGGTTCAAATGGATCAGATACTGAAACAGATAGGGACTGAAAAAGCTGCAGAACATTTTAAAGTGAGTATTATAACAGTATCACCCTTGGTTTAACCTATAAAACAAAATAAAGTTATGAACAACATCACCAGGATGCTTTTCCCTCTGCACACTAAAAATACACTAAATATGTCAGAATCAGTTGAGCAACATGATTTTTAATGTGCTTCCTGAAGTACAAATATAACATTTGTATGAAATGAGTAACATTAATTTTGTAACACCTTTTCAAATTATAGAATCGCGTTAGTGTTTTGCCATCAAACGTCTTTATTAAAGCATATCTGGATTCTTTTTCTGAAGGTATTGTCTTTGGAGCGATCTTTAAATTTTGCAGTTAGAATGCAAAGTCAATGCTTTTGTATACATATATGTATTGAAAAACGTATTATTCTAAAATGAGCACATTACATACTGACTTCTAACCCTCTCCCTGTGCACAGTAGCTACATATTGCGCATTCACACCCGTATTCCAATGATGCCTCACAGGAAAGATACACCTTAATCATCTGGTCTTGCAGAATGTTACGATATCAAATTATCTGTTCAACCATTTATGCTATTGCCGCCTGTTAGGTCGCCTGTGTCAATTATTTTTCAGGCAATAAGTACCTGCCTAATTTACTGAAGTACGCATCAAACATCGGCTTGAAAAACGTCGGGTGAATGTAATTCAGGCCTAGTCCATACGTCGCATTTTGGTCCCGTCGAATGCAATTCGAACAATAGATAATGAGATGATAATGAGGCTTACCATCTCATCTATTGTTTGAATTGCATTCAACGCGACCAAAATGTGACGTATGAACTTGGCCTCATTATCACATGATTGGTTACCTTTCATCAACGCATAGGTGCGCTATCCGGCCACTCTATTCAGGTCAGTCTACTCAATTTGCCGCCCTCGATCAATTTCTAGATGTAACGTTGACTTTGGATGAGAGTGATAATGTTGAAACAGAGCCATATCTTCAAGCTGTTAGAGAAGCACTTGATGATAAATTTGATAACATCATCAGTCTTTGCACAAAAGAAATTGATAAACCTGGTACGTGCTTTTAAGGCGCTCCTTGAAGTTTTTGACATTGCTCGTAGCCCGAATTTCGTCTCATTATAAATCTTCAAAAATGAAACCAATGTAGTGCACGCCGAAAATTTAAATAAAACAAAGTTCAATCATAAAGCGTGCGTATGTGATTATTGAAATCGAATAATTGTATTGTTTTAAACGTGTCAAGTATTTTCTTGAGAATACAATGCGTGGTTTGAGACGGCATAAATACATTTTTTTTCATCCAGCAAAGCCAAGCGTGATATTTCTTTGCATTTCCTTCTTTAGAACCAAGTCCATATTTAGCAAAAGCAATATGCCTACGCGGTACCATGCATACGCTAATGTCGATGCAAACCGAAGCCTTGAAAGACTTTGATCGAGTTATCAGTTTAGAAGATGCTTCTGTTAAGGTGAAGACGAGAAATAGATTCATATTTCTAACAGTTCACACTGAGAAACTGTAGTAATAAAAACCATATAGGCGATGAAAAAAAATAATTGAAAAAATGATATTAATAATGGTTTTCAGGTGGGGAAACTATTACAATAGTTACACTTCTGTTATATGGTTGAGAATATTTGATTGATAATACTTTTTCTATAATGGTGACCTATTTGCTAATAAAAGGATATGGATTCTGTCTCGAGTCAAGTGTTTCCATTCTTCATTTCTGTGTTTTCAGGTCAAAGTGAATGCTCTAGTAAAAAGAGCTAGCATCAAGGTTCAAATGACCCAGAACACGCAGGAAGCATACAAAGATTTCAACGAAGCAATAAAGCTGGATCCGGAGAATGGAGATATTTTCCACCATAGAGGACAGGTATAGTGTGTATCAAAAAATCTAAATTGCTGCCCGGAACCGGAAGGTTAAACCCTAATCTTTATCTATTATACCCACATTCCAGATCAACGCTTTAACTGATAAACTTCCCGAAGCCAAAGAAGATTTCGAGAGATGCGTGGAAATCAACCCATCATTTGTTTCAGCGAAAGTTCAACTTGCCTTTTGTATTTATAAAACAGCAATGACGCAACAGTCAACGTTGTTGCTTCAGGGGGCAAAGCGAATGTTTAACGATATTATTGCAAGCCATCCAACGCACGCAGATGCTTACAGCTTGTTCGCCCAGGTAGTTGAAATGGCGGTCAGATCAGTTCTGCTGTTATATATGTGAAGTTCCAGAAAACTATTCGCCTTGGATTTGTATAAAATTTAGGGGCTGTTAAGTCACACTTTGAAGCTACTTTAATTCGATCTTTTGATATAAGTTTAGTAAACATTTATGATGTCGAATCTTTCAACCAATCGAAAAAATATAAATTACATATTTTTTCCCGCCGCCATAAAATTCAAATAAGTTTTATGATTGGCCATATCCATGTCGGACTCCCGATGCATAACGATATTAAAATCCTGCAGTGTGTACATATTGTACTGTGTAATTTTAGTTGAACCAAGAAATGCAAGACTTTGATGCTGCCGATAAAAATTTCGATACTGCTATTTCGATCGAGCCAAATAATCCTGTGCATTACGTTTACAAGGCGTAAGTAGTGAAATCCACTTTTTCCTTCTTTTCTCTCTTTCTTTCTTTTCTTCTCTTTCTTTTTTCCTTTTCTTTCTCTTACTCTTTTTATCTCTCTTTTCTCCCCCTATTTTTTTCTATTTTGCTTTCTTTCTCTTACTCTCTTTTCTTTCTTTTTCTTCCCTTTCTCCCCCTCTATTTCTTTATTCTTCTTTCTCTTACGTTTTCTTCCCTAATTTTCCCTCTATTTCATTTTCTTTCTCTTATTTTTTTCTTCCCTCTTTTTTCTTTCTTTTCTTCTTTTTTTCTCTTTCTTTCACCTCTTCTGTACTTCCCTTCTCATCTTACCCTTAAAGTTATCAATGCAGCTATAATCAAGCACAGCAATACATGTTTGTTTCAGATTGTTGGTTTGCCAGTGGAAACGAGATATTCAAAAAGCAATGGATCTTTTAAAGAAAGCTGTTACTCTTGATCCAAAATGTGACTTTGCGTTTGAAACACTTGCAACGCTACAAGTCCAAAGGTATGCAATATGACATTGAAACTTTCCTTCACACTTTACTCCAATACATCTCAAACATATCGAAAAATATCCCAATGGTATAAAAGTCATTCTTCTGCTACAATAAGTTCAAGTTACAATAATCATTATATAATTACAGGTGAAATTTTTTTACCTGCAAAACCAAGAACTGAACAAAATCTGTGCATTTTTCTTTCAGTGGAGAGTTTAAGGAAGCGATCGAGAATTTTGACAAAGCTCTTGAACTTGTACGAAGTGAAAGTGAGATGGCACATACCTTCTCTATCCGACAAGCGGCTCTAGCTCAAGAATATGTGACTAAAGTGATTGGCCTCACGCCTCCCAGACTGTTCTAAGACTTTAGGACAATATATATGACCTGTCCTTTCCGGGACATGTGATAAAGTTGATTGTTAATTGGCCTTACTTTTATTGAAAAAAATATTTTATTAGTGATGTTGGCGTAAATATTTTTAGTATAATTATTGACATTTCTAATTTGTAATGATCTTTTTTCTATCGTGAACGTGCCTAATTTGAAGAACTTTTTTCTCCATCACCATTTTCAACTGCGTACAGTAATGTCCTTACGTTCTCAAAGGATAGAAATTGCACGATTTTCAATACGCATTTCTTAACCTATAGTATCTTTAATTGCATGTTAGCTGTCAAAATTCGAGACGCCAGTGCATCGCGCTTTGTCTTGGCTATTCAAATTCCGACTATATAGGCATGACGGTCATTGTTTGCGTTTTTTGGGGAAACCCTATGCATATCCCTGTGCATATCTATAACAAATAAAGAGGTTTTCAACGAATTTGTTATCAAAAGACTTAGGCCTGGGTTATACGTCGTATTGGTCGCGTCGAATGCAATTCAAACAATAGATAATGAGATGATAATGAAGCTTAATGAGGTTTATCATCTCATTATCTATTGTTTGAATTGCATTCGACGCGACCAAAATGCGACGTATAACCTAGGCCTTAATCATGACTTGCCCCTTAAGATGGAGTGATTCAACGAGAACAATAATTAAGCAAGCAAGAACAATGGGTAAACGAAATACAAAAGAAAGGATTTTGACAGAGCTGTCTTGTGAATTTCGGCGAAGTCATCATTGTACGTAAACGAGCAAGAATGGAAGAAGCGAGTCAAAGGAAGAATTTTTATCACCCAGAATAGGTTTCGCGAGAGTTCTACTCGTCGGATTTGATACAATTAGCTTTTAGAGCTGAAGATCGATTATACTCATTCACAAAGTAATAGGTGTTATAAGGAAAATGCATGAAGTCTGTTTGCTTCAGACGGAAGCGACTTTGGCAAAGAACCTGATTACTCACAGCGACAAAGACCTACGGAAGAGAAATGAGGCGAGGAGCTCCGACCCCCGCTAATACAAAGACAAGCACCTCATGGACGGTCAACGTGTAGGGTGGGCTAATGAGAAAAATGGTAAAGGTAAGGACGTTTCTATATTACAGACAAGTATACACAACGGTGATTGGCATAGACCGGGTTTATATATCCAGATATAGACCATGTAGTTGGTACGTGTATATGAGAGGTCCACTAGCTGGATATAAATCTGGTCTATATGTGTATATAAACCAGGAATATCATAATTAGGTTAATTCAGTTCAATTCTAATCATTAATCCCAGTTTTTCTGAGACGATTTCGCTAGTGGAAAACCGGATTAATGCGTAGTTTTGTAATCGCGTAGCGACAACGGTATTTGAGGGACAAATTTCTTAAGGAGTCATTTTTGGAGTCCCAGCATGGGTAATAACTTTATAGCGCAAGCTGCGAGTAGTTAGTCCTCATTTTGAAATTGATACACAAGTCTTCACTCGGTAACCTATGATAATACGAATAGAACTCCTGACAAACAGTTTTGGCATTCACATGTATTTAAACCAGCGCTATTACAAATAATAACAGGTGTAAAAAACCGTTCATGTTATCACTACCACTTCCAAGTACCAAAATACATCGCCCATACACGACAATCATGTTGGGCACCTTTCAATTTTTGTGCCGCGCGGACCCACGCTTTTTCACACGCTCCCGACTTTGCAGGAAGAAAATTTTGTTCCGGAAAAGCTTCGGTACGATATCCTTGCGTGAAATGGGAACAGCCGAGCAGGACAATTTAAATATGTTAACGGTGAATGCATGGGTATTCTAACAATTACCTGGCGGTGTTCAGGTTGCTTTTTACATTTTGAGTGTTTTCGAATATTTATAGAGACAAATATATAAAGCAGCGAAATTTCGCAAGCGATTCTGGCGGTATAATCGCGTGCTTTTTATGTTAATGGAATACTTTTAAAAGTTTATATAACTTTATATATAACTGATATAACTTTATATACTGATAATTGAAATGACCTTTGATGCCAAATTTCGAAAGGATTTCAAAATAGCAATGAGCTTTTACGCTTCGCCTAAAATAAACAGGTGGTCGTGCGGAAAAACAAAGAAATGATTGAGAAAACAGGTAGCAAGCCAGATTGCTACCAGTAATACTGTTCAATTACGGTCCTTTCTTGTGGAAACGGCAGAACCCTATGTGCATTGAACCGCATGAGCAGAGAGATCTCTGCATGCAGTTTGTATTAAGCGAGATTTGAACGAAGAGGAACAAGGCCAAATTTGTTTTCTCGCTGTCTATCAAAACGCCATGTTTACTAACTGAAGAAGAATCTACCAAAGTGATAAGTCACACGAGTGGCAGCCTTCACTGAAAGAAGAACCTGACGCAGGCGTCTACATAAACACTAAAGGGAATTTTATTCACGGAAGCAAATATTAAGTGAATGCAAACTTTCGTTTTGTTGGAAAGAATTGTTATACCAACCGATACTGGATATCGACCATATCATATAAATATATTGTATATATTTTCCAAGCGTTAATTTCTAACGAACACATTTTATATCATACTTGCATTGTGAGTTATTTAAAGAACTAAAAGAAGAAAAGAGTCAAGAAACCTGAAAACGTCGCTACTGGCCTTTCACCGCGGACTGTTGTTATCATTATAAAAAAATCAGGTGAACTGAAGTTGATAATTGTTGAAGTCAGGAATAATCAAAAACGATCAGAATAGACGAAGACCTAGTTCTACATATCTGTTGTGCAGTATCAGCTTATTCTTTGAAGAAAAAACTACGTATATAGGCTTTTTTCAGTGTCTCAAAGAGTAATCAAAGAAAGCGATTTACAGGATAAAAGCCAAATGTTAGCTAGTCCGCGACCCCGTCCTTTGAACCTAGATCTTAGTCATGTCCCGAAGCAAGAGAAACACAACTCGCATTTGACCGATGAATCGATGTCTTGCTTCTCCACGAACCTTCAGATTCAGGTTTGTGATCCAATTGGAAGCGGAGGATTCGGCACCGTTTACTGCGGGCTGCTCGATAACCAAAAGATTGCCGTCAAGAAGTTGAGGTCGAATACGAAGACGAAAGATTTGGTGTGGAATAGCTTCTTGGCGGAACTCCGAGTGATGCGGCTGAACCATGACAATATTGTAAAGGTCTTGGGGGCCATGACGTTGGAGAACACTCCTTGTTTAGTGATGGAGTTTGCCGGGAATAGAAATCTCCAGGAATTGATTGAATGCAAGGACGAGGAACTGTCCATTTCACGACGTCTCGATATTTCGTCCGCTGTAGCTTGCGGGCTGGAGTATATCCACAATCAGGGCTTGGTCCATCTCGATATCAAGCCCGCCAACCTGATCATCAACAGTGAATCTTCGTGCAAGATCGCCGACTTTGGTTGTTCTCTTAAGATCGACGAACTGGACGGCGATCTTCGACCGAATTTCTACCTCACCGGTACGCATGCGTATAAGGCACCGGAGCTGCTACTTGGAGAGTTCCCCACAACGCAGGCTGACGTGTACTCTCTGGGGATTTGCATGTGGCAAATGTTGTCTCGAGTGGAACCGTACGCGGGCGAGGACCCGCAGCTGGTGATATTTGGTATTGCGACAAACTCGGTTAGACCGCGTCTACCCAAAGGCTTGCCCGAATCCGATGGTGAATATCGAAAACTGTTTCAAAAGTGCTGGAATGGTGCCCCACATGACCGTCCAACCCCTTCGGCTCTACAAATCCAACTGTCGGTTCATCGTGATCTGGCTTAAGGATAATTGTTTCTTTAATTTATTAAAGAAAGAACTTATTCCTTCTGCTCTTGGGAACAGAAAAAATAAGACAGTGGGGCCAAATTGCCATTCCATAAATGGATTTCAGTGCCAGCACGCTTAAATGAAATCATGTTTGATTCTACGGATATCTTCATTTTTACGGTCGCTTCAGTCTTAGTTGAATTATGCATTGGGTTTATTATATGCATGCTTTTTTATTCTGTAGAGACTGCACGCGGGTTAGCTTAGTCATGGTATAGTTAATGTAGCTATAAGACTTTTACAAGTCAAAGAATATTGTCAGGATAGAAGAGAAAAAAGACATACATTTTACATGTAACCAAATCGGTAGACTATATTTAATAAATATAAGGGGTGTGCTTGTTTCGCAAGTAAACATTACACAAAGTTTTACTCATATACATTTAAAAAAAATATATTTTATCAAATGTCATGCACATCACATGATACGATTTTAAGTACATAAAAAAATTCTAGAATTGATTGACCGATCCATATGCGCGTGCAATAAAAACAATAATTAAACGTTACATACGACTCTCTCAATAAAGCCAAGGCAAGAAATAGCCCATATAAAGTGGCCAAAATTCAAAGTTTATATCATTTATGTAAATCCGAAAGAATTAAAATATCTATTTCTTTTGGATAGCCTAAGTGAATTTTCCTTTCAAGATTTTTTCAGTGCAACCACAACTGCTGTTATTAATAAACTCCCTCGAAAGACCGGGTATATATATATATATATATATATATATATATATATATATATATATATATATATATATATATATATATATATATATATATATATATATATATATATATATATATATATATATATATATATATATACACCCATTTGCAAAAACGTTGGCCGCAGATAGATAGATAGACAGATACTCGAAATCTAATTAGAATTGCATATGTTGTGTATTATGATTGAAATCCCATGCAAATGTAATCATATGCAATTCTAATTAGACCTCGAGTATCTATCTATCTATCTATCTGCGGCCAACGTTTTTGCAAATGGGTGTATATATATATATAAATATATATATATATATATATATATATACATATATATATATATATATAATATATATATATATATATATATATAATATATATTAATATATATATATATATAGTGCCCCCTAATAAAACAGATAGAATGCTTTGAAATTTATCTGTTTTAAATTATATATGGGTTGCAGGTCAAAACTAAGTTTCGATATCTATAAAGGTTTGAACTTCAAAATGAACCCCTCGTCAGGTGCTAATACACCTGTACGCCCTATATATCTATATACGCCATGTGTAAATATAATCATACAGTCATAATATTCTATATAGGCTCAGTCTTATATATATATATATATATATCATGCAGGCTCATCAAATAAGTATATAATTAGGGCAGAGCCCTTACCAGGCTGAATAAAAAGTGGCGAAATTGACAACATTTGGACATCTCCCCCAATTTGAACTAAAATTTGAAATTAGAAAGATTCGTCTTTGAAAAATTTGGTCTAGTTTGCGAAGTTAAAAAATTTATAAAAAAAATGATCAACAAGCATGCAGGTTATAGAGTGAACTGCCCCAGAGCTTGGTGGATTATATACAAAATCATAAACAATAACGTTTTGGTATATATAGATCACCATACACAATTTTATTATAGCTGTAGATGAGACAAAAGGCAAATTAACATATAAAATATAATGCATTATACTAAATGTCTATAAACATGCAATTATATTATTGCATCTTTGTGCTTCAGTTTCTTTGTCTAACTACTCACACACACTGCAATTTCAGAGTGGAATAAAGAGTTCATATTATATCACGATTAATATGTCGGCTATATATGCCACTGCATGAGCTGAGATGTTGACATGTTCGAATGTCTACGGCTCCACGCATTTATATTTTCTAAAGAACGAGAAAATATAGGCCATGTATTTGAATAATTCATTTGCATGAACATGCAAAGGCGGTAAAAACATTTTGAGGGATTAATCATGTATGTCATCTTGAAACCCATAAACAGCGCAAAGGGTGTGCGATTAAGAAATCACGAGCAATCTAAGCGCTTGGTGGGCCGATCTCGATTGGACCACTTTAACTAACGACTTATAGACCCTTTGCACACGGCGCCACAGTAGGCATCTTGAGGAAAATTTAAACATAGCATTAATTTTGCAGTTTTTGATAAAATACAGATATCAATATTAAAGGTTAACTATATGGTACTAAGGAAATTTGTTTTTGTCAGGCATATGAACATTTAACACTCGCACAACAAAATATTGCGTCGGGAGAAAAACTCTTTGGGATAATGACGTGGATGGGTCTATTGTTTTAAAGAAGGGTATTACTGGCATGGTTTTATGAAACTTACGTAGCACCGAAAGAGCCAACGTTGATACATCTTCTCATAGCTCCTGTGTACGGGTTACCTCTACGACAGCATTTCCCGTTATTCGCTTCACAACCATACGCATTTAATGAAATACAACCGCCTCGTTTGCTCAGGATTTCGAACTGAAAGAATACATCAGACAATTGCATGGAATATAATATAATATATATATGAGGGTGGCTGATGGAGCTGGGCCGCGGGAATTATCATTCGTCCCCCTCTCTCTTTCTGTACAGTAAATAATTCATATTTTTGCTTGAAATTTTCTCCAGTTAGTGTGATTACGTCATCATTCGGTCCAGACTTGTCCTCTATACATATCACGCCCGCATGAGCAGATTTTCAAAAGCGGCTTTTGCCCAGATCAGTGATTTTGACAAGTTGACAAATGTAACAGGAAAGCAGCCTTTAGTTTTTCACTGTATCGGTAAGTTTGTGATTTGTTGCAAATAATTATGCGCAATTTCACGTTTGTCGCACCAGTATGCCGCCTTTTAAATCGCTGTTCAAAGTGCTAAGTATAAACCTCCAATTCTTACCATACATCGCCCATGCGAAAAAAGGAATATCAGCTGGCTTCATGCGATTTTTACCCCTGCGAATTTGTATGGAAAAAGGTGTATTACCTCGTCTCGCATTCTTTGGAAAATGTTACGATATTTATCATTTTCCTTCCGAATTCTATTGAGTTCAGCATAGTCTTGGTTTACTATATTTTGTTGCGTTGACAAAGACACAACTGCGGCCAGGACAAAGAGTAACAACACATATTTTCCTGCCATTATAAGGTCGATGATCGAATCTTAAAGCAAACCAATGATAAATTAGATAAAGGAGAAGCAAATCCAGACCTCTCACTCATACGTTTATGTGTTCAAGAAGAGATCAACTTCAGGTTTTGCCTTGCATCGAAGTAATATATGTGCAATTTGTAATATTACTTACTGTTCATGCAGCCCCGTTTATTACACTCAATTTATCGGCACGTCATTTATCATCCGTGCCCGGCCTTTAGCCTGAACACCAATAAAATAATTAGGTAGGCGTACCCATTTTAGCTGTGCCGTGCCAATAAATTATTGAGTGTAATGTAAACGTGGTGCTATTATATTTTATATAATAACGTAAAGAATTCAAGCAATTTCATTGGTCGAGAGCCATGATCTATAAGAGGACAGACGCACGGAATGACGTCACAGCAATTTTCTTGTTTTTAAATTGCAAACAAATGATTCAATTAATTTTGGATTTTTTTCAGTTTTATTATATAAAACAAATTGATTACAATAAACCGTTGTCTGTTCAGTTATAGCATATAGATACACGGTATGACGCCATATGTGATAAGAACAAAAGAGTGACCACTCGCCCCGGCGGCTCGTGGCCACTTTTTTTGTTCTTATCACATATGACGTCATACCGTGTATCTATAACTGAACAGACAACGGTTCATTGTAATCTATTTGTCAAATAGCAGATGTGCAATTAAGGATACGACTGCAAGGATTAGCGAGAAGTTTATGGGATGTTAGATTCCAAAAATTTGTGCTAGTAAGATTAGTTAGTTAAACGAGGAAAAATTGTCACAATAACCAGTCATGCACTTGACGTTTTGGCGACCTGAGCTAAATTAAAAGGGGAATATCTTCGGTAGGAATTCAAAACGATTAAAACCTCAGTCGTGATGATTTTGTAAACTGTTCTAAAGTGATAGAAATTTTAAGCATGAATAACCTTGACTGCTCAGACTGAATAATCCATCCGGTGAATTCACTCGAATCAGTGATGCTGTATTGTTTTTGCTAATATAACAAGGGAACATTTTAACATTATACACTTAATGCATGCTCCCAAAGTCGAGGGAAACATCGAGAATTGAGAGAAAACAAAACTTACTATTTTCCGAGGTGGTATATACATTAAGTGTTTTGTTATATAGGAACAAAAACGTACATTTTACACAACAATTTGATTTAAAAAAATACCCACTTTACTTTGTTATGACAAGAAGCGGGCAACAATTTTTCACTTGATTCCCTGGCGGGAAAAATTGCATTTATTTTAAGTCATGTGACTAGAATAAACCAATCACATTTAAAATACACAGAATCTATATTTATAACAATGCAAATTATTGGTGGTGTCACATTCCCACACACCCCCCAGTCGCCACGTTCTTGACATTGTTCTTAATTAATTGAAAACGAACTGAGCCACACTCAACTATACAAAACAAGTTCGATTCTTCAAATACTCGATTAAGAGATCCCCAAAATTGAAAACGATATAAACTCGATCAGTTTCCTGTGCGTACACGCACGGCGTATTTGAAAGACCCTTGTCATAGTTGGCTGCGCTTTCACTTTGTTTCAAACTAAGAAATGCTGAAATATGTTGCGATATTTTATTGTAATGATTCGCCAGCTGACATTTTAAAGACAAATTCATGGCAATTACGACAGTAACGAACGACGACTGACGAATTAGGCAATTCCTACACGGGTGAATTTGCTTCAAAGTACACTAAATTAATCGATATTTTCCCTGAATGCATGCAAATGCATTCGCCGTAACATATATCACCTACAAATTCCCACATTCCTTCTAAGTCTCGGAGTTTTATAAAGTCATCAGTCAGGTCCGGAGCTGAAAGTCCATTGAGATTTGAGGACCTTATACAACAAAACACTCTTCAATTTAGCACGTCTGACATTAAGAGTGTCTAAATTTAATTTTTGCAGTATCATGCTGGGACTAGTGAACTGGCTGGGACTGACATCGTAATTTGCACCAGTAATCACTTTATCCGCACCGTTTTGGAGCACCTGCAATTTATCCTTTAAGACCTTATCACAAGTGTCCCACAAAGGGGAGCAGTAATCAAAATACGGCTGAATTAAAGATTTATAAAGTGTCAGAAGAGAATCTAATGGGAAAAAAGATTTTATTCTTCTCAAGACACCTATACCAGAACATTTTTTTTACATAGTTCGTCGATATATGGAAGGCCAGCTTCTCATCAAGATCAATCCCTAGACATTTGTTGGAGGTGACAGATGTCAGAGTTTTGTTGTTCATAGTGACCGGCGCTAGAGCGTAGATAACCAACTTTAGAGTTTAGATTATATCTTGAGCCTATAACCATAAACTTGGTTTTAGAGAAATGAGACTGGAGTTTGTTTACATTTATGTCACTGTTATGTTTTTCAAGTCCGAATTTAAAATTTCCACTAACTCCACAGAGTCATATGATGAAGTGAATATTTGCGTGCGGTCATCTGCATATATATATAGACAAGGCACTGTCGATTTCAAGCAGCTGGGAAGTCATTTATGTAGATTAAAAACATCAAGGGCCCCAGTATTGACCCTTGGGGAACCCCGCATATTATTTTACCTTTTTTTGAGAGAAAACCATTAATTTGGCATTGCTGATATCGGTTTTTTGAATATGATTGAAACCATTGGAGTTCAACTTCGGAAACCCCATAGTATGTCAGTTTCTCAAGCAAATTATAATCATTCACCGAGTCAAAAGCCTTGCAAATATCGAGAAAAACCACTCCTGTCAGCATTCCCCGGTCCATATTTGTAAACCATGTATCACACATTTGAATCAAAGCGGTTAAGGTGAAGTGCCCAGGCCGAAAACCAGATTTAAATTTTGAAATAAGATTATTTTCATTTAGATGTCTATACAATTGTTGGAAAATTTCTTGTTCGAAAACCTTGCTAACAATTCATAGAAACCTTGCTAACAATTGATAGAATTTCTTGTTCGAAAACTTGCTAACAATTATTGTTATTGTTATTAACTAAATTCTGCATCTACTGATATTAAATCATTCTTAATTTAAAAAAGACCATGTTTTTATGATAAAGTTTTCAAAAAAGATCCACCGAGTTGTGGCGTAATTTGTTCTTTGCCAAAACCACATCTACAGAGTCCGTATATAGCAGTAGACGTATAGGTACGGTTTGCAAAAAAGGTGTTTTTAACTTGCGGTTCAGTGCATTGTGAACCCGACACATTATTTGAAGATACTCCCCGCTTCTTTTCTATACTGCAAACTGAAGCAAGAAAGACTGAGGTGAAACAATGTCATCCTACCAGCACTATAGTTTAGGCTTTGCTGACGTTGTTATATAAACACCAAATTGGTAAACGAAATAATAGGTGTGGAAGTTGTAAGTGACACTGACAATGCAATTGAAAAGAAAATATACTTTCGCAGACTTACAGTTGTAGTATAGACGCTTGGAGCTTCTTTCTTGTCTTGTCTTCTGAGGACGATGATGATGAACTGCTAAATAGCTAGCAGGATCTGCTTACTTATAATATCATGTCATAGCTAGTTGCACTTCAGGAATGATCTAATGGGCATTTTAAGTAGATATGAATTATCAATATGCTTTTAACGTGCTGTTGTTCATTTTAGTGCGTATAAGGACACCATTTACTCTCTTAGAGCAGGAAAACACGCACATTCCCATGGCTATACATTTGGGTATCGGCACTGCGCATGAACTTCTTCTGCAGTCCTCAAACGATGGTTGCATGTTTCAGGCGTTGAGACTATTACAGATAATTACATGGTAAGCCTCATGCATATGAAGCATCAGATTCATTTGATAAGATAAACTGATGTAGATAAAGATTATACTTGATATATATAATCTTGAGATACACAATTATACTTGTGCTCAAAGCGATGTTTCATGCAATGTTTTTCCTTTTGTGGGACCTTGCACGTCTATGACTATAGGTATATGCTTTTTTCGTGAGTGAAAGCCAGGCTTAAAGACACAAATTTTCGGTCATAGTCGGCTGCACTTTTTGTTTTGAAAGGAACAAATAATTGACCATAAACATGACAAAAGGCTCTTATTCGCCGAATAGTCGAGAAGTTTGCTCTTTAAGACCGCCGAGATATGCTGCCCTGCCTCTGATATTCAACCCTGCATGGGCCGCGTATTATTTGTTAAATTGAAATGTTCACAAATCACAAGGTCATGCATACATTTGACTAACACACTCCAAGACTCCCTCCTTATAGGTATTAATCGTGGAAAGCTTTTAAATATCGGTAGACAAAATTGGCGCCTAGTGGTATGTTAATTGCCAAAAAATTGACTCACAATGCATTATTATGCTCATACATCATCACATTAATTAATGTCACGAGACGCACAAGCACGTTTTTTACAGCGTAGCCCAGTGTTTATTGCAATCTTACTATACCTAAAATTTTTTTAGAAATAGTTTTAGGAATGTTCTGGCTGATATTCAACCATGCATGGGCCGCGGATTATTAGTTAAATTGAAACGTTGACAAATCACAAGGTCATGCATGCATTTGACTAACACACTCCAAGACTCCCTCCTTATAGGTATTAATCGTGGAAAGCTTTTAAATATCGGTAGACAAAATTGGCGCCTAGTGGTATGTTAATTGCCAAAAAATTGACCAAAAAATTCTCAATTTTTCTCAAAATAGCATTATATTTTGTAATTACATTAATTACCTATAATTACAAGTCATTGTTGAATTTGAGGTATGCCCTGGCTAATAACGTTCCGAAATCTCCTTATAATCTTCGTGCTTTTTAAAACATGCACCATATATACAGGGTTTCTCAAAAAAACGCATGGCTCTTAATCCTTCATTTAAAATGCTAAAAGTCATTTTAGCTGAACTGTGGTGCAAACCCGAACAATATTAATATTCTTGCATATTTAAGTGGTTGCGTTTTTTTTTTGAGACACCCTGTATGACTCCTCAGATCAGCAGGAACACCCTCATCATTAGTTACGCTAAAAAATCAATGAAATAAAGGGCTTGTATGACAAGTTCACATGTGGTATAACATGTGATATAACATGTAGTATAACAACTGCCTAAAATAGACAAAACACTTCTCGACGTTTCGAGCTGAGGGCCTTCGTCAGGAGTGTTAGTGATGATGTTGATCTCCTCTTCAACAGGAGAGTTTGCTTTGAAGATTTATCAGCGCATCACAAATCGCCCAAATATATGATCTCGGTTATTTGTTGCTTAAAAAAATCACGCTGTATCTTTATATATATGCATGACAATAAAGGCGCTGTTACATTATGACACTTTCTTTACCATTTGCAATGCTACATCTACTCCTGCATGAGGCATGTAATTATAGTTGTCGGCAAATACGATTTTTACGAACATTTTTCACAATCTTTCTTAGCATTTCCAACAGACATTCTTGAGCTAATTAACATTGCTTGCATGACAGCGTTTGGCTTTGATGATTAATCAGCATCCCCGTGCACAAATCGCGCAAATGTACCATCCAGTTATTTCTTCCTTGAAAAAATTATGTTGCATGTGCTTCATGGTACTTCAATTTAGGCCACATTTAAAAAGTAAGTAATTATACATCAAATATATACAGCAAATATACGGCAAATATACAGGGTGTCCCCAAAATACCCAGAACTATTGAAATCACCCATAAATAACAATGTCATACTGAGTTTGAGTGCTTTAATCACACTGTGTTTGACATTTATTATTTATTTAGCATTTTTATGCATGATGACAGTAAAATTTGTTTGTACCTACGAATGATTTTTTTTACTATAGTTTACTTTACAAAATATGGATAGCTATATTTAAATGTACATCTCAAGCACTATGACGTTCGGCATGTCCTTCTTTACCAGCAAATTTTGGATTTTTGTATTTAGCATTTTATAAGTTGCGTTACTCCCCACAGGTGAAAATTTTGGGTTTTTTTGGGAACACCCTGAAGTTCGCGTAACGTAATCAGGTGATCAAATTAGCTTTTTCTTGTAAATAGATAATAGATAGATACTCGAAATCTATATGAAAATATATATATACCCATTGGCAGAAACGTTGGGCGCAAATAGATAGATAGATAGATAGATACTCGAAATCTAATTAGAATTGCATATGATTACATTTGCATGGGATTCCAATCATATTACACAACATAATATGCAATTCTAATTAGATTTCGAGTATCTATCTATATATCTATCTGCGGCCAACGTTTTTGCAAATGGGTATGGAACATCCCGCAGTACGTGCACGTCCAGATTAATCATGCACCCCCATCTATCCTACGCAGAATCCCGGAAACCATCAACCAACGCCTTTCAAAAATCTCCTCAGACAAGCAAGCATTCGATTCAAGTAAACAGCCATACCAAGAAGCATTGAAAGAGAGCGGCTACAACTATAACCTACACTATGATCCTCAACCCACTCAACACAACCGCCACAGATCCCGTAATATCATTTGGTATAATCCCCCCTACAGCTCAAATGTAAAAACTAACATCGGCCAAAAATTTCTAAAAGCCGTAGACGATTTTCTTCCCCGTGACCACCCACTACACAAAATATTCAATCGGAACACATTGAAGCTAAGTTACAGTTGTATGCCAAGCGTCCAGAGCATCATTTCGTCACACAACAAATCTATCCTACGTAATGAAGCCAACAGCATTACCGACAAAGAACTAAGAATTGCAACTGCCGCGCGAAAGATTCCTGTCCCCTGCAAGGTGAATGCCTAACAAAAGCCATAGTCTACCAAGCGACAGTGAAGAATGAGAGCACGAAAGAATCCCAAACCTATACGTTGGCCTTACTGAGAATACATTTAAGACACGCTACCTCAACCATACTTGCTCTTTCCGCAATAAATCAAAGAAAAACACCACAGAGCTAAGCAAACACATTTGGATATTAAAGGACTCTAATACACCGTACACTGTCAGTTTAAAAGTCGTTAAGAAATCACAACGTATTGTAATAAGACTAAACGCTGTAATTTATGCCTATCCGAGAAATTTATGAAACGAGAGTATCCACCTGCAATTAGAATGTCTTCATTTGCCATATTCAATGTTATCTCACTTTGGGATGACAGTTTTTGGAGCAGTTCGAGCATGTTTATTTTCTCCAACATTTTATTCATCATGACTTTTACTTCATCGACGTCTTCGTTAACTTTCGAAAGATTCTCTTTCAGTACATCTTTGATTTCTCTTCTAACTTGTCCGACTTTGTTCTTTACCTCTTCAATTTCATCGTGTCTTCCATTCACTGCTACAACTGCCTCATTTAATTCCTTCACAATTTTCTTACAGACCTTCTCACCTCACCTTGAATAACCTCTTTTTAATACCCCTCGTCAGGTGGTATATACACCTGTACGCCCTATATATCTATGTACGCCATGTATAAATATAATCATAGTCATAACATTCTATATAGGCTCAGTCTTATATATCATGCAGGCTCATCAAATAGGTATACAATTAGGACAGAGCCCCTACCAGACTGAATAAAAAGTGGCGAAATTGACTACATTTGGACATCTCCCTCAATTTGAACTAAAATTTGAAATTAGAAAGATTCCTCTTGTGGTGTAGTTTTGCGAAGTTAAACTGAGGTTTGTAAAAAAATTATCAACAAGCGTGCAGATTATATAGAGTGAACTGCCCCAGAGCTTGGTGGATTATATACAAAGTCAAACAAAAACGTTTTGGTATATATAGATCACCATATATACTGTACATATTTTTATTATAGCTATAGATGAGACAAAAGACAAATTAACATAAAATATAATGCAATATACTAAATGTCTAGATATGCAATTACATTATTGCATCTTTATGCTTCAGTTTCTTTGTCTAACTACACACACATACACTGCAATTTCAGAGCGGAATATAAAGAGTTCATATTATATGACGATTAATATGTCGGCTATATACGCCATGCACTGAGCTGGGATGTTGACATGTTCGAATGTCTACGGCTCCACGCATTTATATTTTCTAAAGAACGAGAAAATATAGGCCAAGCATTTGAATCATTCATTTGCATGAACATGCAAAGGCAGCAAAGAAATTTTGAGGGATTATTATAACGACTTATAGACCCTTTGCACACAGCGCCACAGTAGGCATATGGTACTAAGAAAATTTGTTTTTGTCAGGCATATGAACATTTAACGCTCGCACAACAAAATATTGCGTCGGGAGAAAAACTCTTTGGGATAATGACATCGATAGGTCTATTGTTTTAAAGGAGGGTATGACTGGCATGGTTTTATGAAACTTACGGAGCACTAAAAGAGCCAGCGTTGATACATTTTCTCATATCTCCTGTGTACGGGTCACCTTTACGACAGCATTTCCCGTTATTCGCTTCACAACCATACGCATTTAATGCAATACAACTGCCTCTGCTCAGGATTTCGAACTGAAAGAATACATCAGACAATTGGAATAATATATATATATATATATATATATATTATATATATATATATATATATATATATATATATAATACTGCGGCGTACGAGGCGGGGGGTGGTTGATGGGGCTGGACTGGAATTAGTGAAACGTAATAGCTATTTGTTCTCGAATAGTTTAATTATCATTCGTCCACCCCCCCTTTCCGATTCCCACAATGATT